AGAACACAGCTGCAAGCTTTCTGAAGGAACCCTGCCTGACTCCGGCGAAGCCCAGAACCTGAACCTCTCAACGTCTGATTCTTTTTCTTTTCTTTATATGAGACCTCATTGCTCCAAAGAAACTCGCCCATGTCAGATGCCCCAGTTGGCCCAGGTTTGCAGTTGATACGCTCCAAGGAAAAAGCAAAACGGCAACCTGCGATATCCCACATGTCAAAGACCTCGTAGCCAACATCTGTCATACACAGTCCGATTTTTTTGTGTTTGAATTCACCATGCCCCTCACAATGTCTTCACGCTGGTGGCAGCTCTGCTCGCACACCAAGCGTAGGAGAACAACTTGGAAACCCTTTTCTTGCCAGAACTTGCCATCGAATTTGCGGTTGGATGTGGTTGGATGCGGTTGGTTCACTTGCTGACTAACTGCTGACTAGTCCTGGCAGTTTTGCCGGGCGCCCCCGCGCTGCCATTCCAGGGAGGCCGGCGGCTCATTGCATGCTCGGTAAGGCAAAAGAGCTCAGTGGACGTTGAGGAACCATCTACTGACCGACCTGCTGAGTTGTCTTGCCGCAAAACGTTTGGCCCCACACTGGAACTTTTGAAGCAGCAAATTGTCGTCAAAGCTTGGAAAGGCAACAGGTACGTCTACGGTGAGACATCTGGTCGGCAGGCTTCGAAAACCAAATGACGAAAAACATCTTTCTTGCACTGGGACTGACTTCATGTTTCGAATCAGCCACTAGTCCAACTTGCGTTTGTGCAAAGCTCCACTCTCCCCGGGCATTTGAGCACTTTGGTGAAAGCCGTGGCGCGGAAAGCCTGGAGTCTGATGAGGATGCGGGATACTGCTCATGAATGTCAATGTTAACAGGGAGTCACTGGCATGCGGTCAAATCTGAGAGCTCTGGCCCTCCAAGTCCTCACACATTGCTGGGTGGCTCAATACTAGTGAATATTGGCCGTCAATGCATAAAGGGCTCAATATCTACACTAGTACGGCTGTTCTTGCCAGTCGGCAAGCTTGATGAATTTTATAGTAACACCTTCCGTCCAGAATTGTGCCCATACATTGACTCTGAATGACGGGATCCTTTCAGTATAATGCAAGGGCCTAAATAATTGGAGTGGGGGGAGGGTACTTTAAAGCCAACTTAACGCATGATCATAAGGAAAGCAGTATAATTATTCAGCCTCTTTATCAATGCCGAGTGGTACGCCGCAAGTAGCCTTTGAAGAAACACCCGACACTTATTTAGATGAGTAATTGATGGTTGATGGGGCACCGTTGAAAATCTGCAAAACCGCTTGGGGACTATCGCAGAACAATACCCCAGCAAGATTTTGAGTTGTTCAGGTAGGCTTGTAAAAACAGAAGGCATTTATTCAAAGCTGGCTACCTACAATCCTCCCACCAAAGAGCCACTCACTTGAAATTGGCCCAGCTGAGATCCCTAGATGGCTGCGAACACCAAACATCTGGGCAAATGAGGTTGTCCAACCCAAATGACTTGCTAATTCTCAGCAGCGAATGAGTTGGAATGACCCATATAACTCATCCACTAAGGATTCCTTTAAGGGCATTCCTAGGTTCATTCCCAAAACCCGGAAGAGTCATTCCCTACCTATGGCACCAGCAAGGGTTCCTCCAAGGGTTTCCCTGTTCAGCCCTCCCATCTCCTCAGGCGCTGGTTCAGCCGCCTGAGCCCAGGCGTTCGGACTGTGCAAGTGGGTGTCTGTGTTGTCTTTTTGTTTTTGTTGAAACCAACCTCAATAAAAATGCCTCAAAAGAAACACACACACACACACACCCATGTCCCATGTCCCACGTACCGTCCCAAGTGCCCTCTAGCATCCCAAGCCCACAGGAAACCGACCAACTTGGTGAGTCTGGACTCATGGGAAGCCCCCTACGAAGCATGTCGGTATTGATTGTGCCCTACCACCGGAGTGCACAGACCGCTGGAAGATGGTTTTCCCTGAAAGGGTAGCCCGTGCACTTCCATGTATGGCAGGGTAGGAATGAGCGCAAGCCTCGTGAGGTCCGCTTAGCCATCCTTCGGGCTTTTAGCATCTTCCCTGCTATATACCAACCAACCATGATAGGGGGTTCCCCTAACTTGACACAAGCCCATTTGGGTGTGACCTGGTTTTCGGGGACTCGCCAGGTTTTCTGGTTTGTATCACTGGTACCAACCGGCCTCCGGTTCAGGTGCAGGCAGCGAAGAAAGCCAGTCCATTGGGACGAATCCGAGCTGAAAGAAAACCTGGGTGCCTCGTCGGGCAAAATCCGAGGGTTTACTTGGGTGTGGGTCAAAGAAAGGTAGCCCAAAGGGCCTGGTAAATGGAAACAAGGACTACAACTTGGGTTCCTTTTGGTGTCCTATGGGTTCCTCTTGGTGGTTTGGTTCCTTTTGGTGGAACAACCCTGAAAGCAGCCTGAAAAGGTTCTTGAAATATATTGGGAGAAGGAATGCCCGGAAGGTTCTAAGAACTTTTTCTTGGGGATGCTATTACCCCATGTTTTGGTTGATGCTTGGTTGATGTTTTGGATTTGGTTGATGAGCGCATGTTTCGATATTCAGTGCCCATGTTTTGGTTCATGCGCGTGAGGGATGGATGCTATGAGCCGAGAGAGGCAATCTGCAATGGGAAGGCACGCCCTCAGTCCCACTCCCTTTTTGCTTACCGTGGCAAATAACAAAAAGGTCCAGCCTTGTTGCATTCTCGGTTGCAGTGCATTGGGCCTTCATAAAAAAAACCAAATGGGTTTCGTTCTGCAAACACAAACAGGAACTCGAAAGGGTTTCTAGATCAACACCCCTCTGTGTTGGCTAAGAAACGGTGAGCCCATGGGAAGGAGAGCTTCCTACAGGTCTTGGCAGGCGAAGCAAGCTGCACAGATAGGAAAACCACTACCGTCGGACAGCAAGGATAGAGTTTGAACAACATAGTAAATCAATAATATATATATATATAACATTGCTATCTATAGGAATATGTTATTATGTAATATGTAATTGTCTTTCTTTCAAGGGTAATCCTCGGGGTTGCTTTAAAGAGAAACCAACAGGGAAGCCAGCAGTTTGGGGGGTTCCCAAGGCAGCTAGCAGAGATCAGGACTTTTGTCGGGCTCCTCCAAAAAGGTAAGCTGGCTTCTAGGTAGGCATGGCGGAACGGAGAACCTGAGGGACCTCTTTATCGCTCAAGGACCACGATACATCTGGGCAGGAACCTTGTTGAACTCTCTGTTTAAACAGGATTGGCCCAAACTGCAAGTCTTCAGAATCCCTGAAGCACAAATGGGGACCGACCCGAGGGTAGGCTTGCTTTCCGTTCAACAGCCCACTAAAGGGATCCCTTGAGCCACAGCCTCGTAGCGCGCTTGGGAGGGCCTCAAGATCGTAAAGCAAGGCCCCATTTTAGCTGGCGGTTCCGCATACCGTTTCATCATCAACCATAGATCAGAGTGCTCAGTGACCCTCAAAACCGTCCACAAAGGGGCTGTGCTCCAAGCATGGAAGGTTACGGTGGGACCGGATGAAACTTTTTGCCAGCGGGGTCCACAGGGGTTTGGCCCCCCTTTAGAGGGTCCCGACCACACAAAGGGCAGCACCAAAATTCACCGCCCGCCTTTTCGAGGTGGGGGGCGCCACGAAGCCATGTTCACAGGGATCCGGATGCATGGAAAAACACCGGACCATTGCCTGCCTTATAAATAATGGTTTCCAACTTTATTTTGGTGTTGAAAAAGCGACATGTTTCAAATGGTGGCAAAATGAATTTCTTTTAAGGAGCCCTGGTTCCGAAAGTCCTGCTCAAAAGACGACAAATCCTCCCGATGGAACCCGGCCTTCTTTTTCTGTCCGAAAGCAGCCTTTCACTGGCTGAAACTTTGCCTGGAGGTTTTGCAGGTCTGATCGCAAAAGCATCCACGGCTGTTGTACTCGTCTGAGTCATACTCCAAACCCGGCATTCGAATGGACCTTTCAGCCGGCCGCTGTTTCTGGGGCTGCGGCTTGGTAACCTTCATCTGCCCTGGTTTTGAGCAAGCTCAACTTCCATAGCGGAAAGGTCCTGTAGGTCCATGGGGGTCTTGACTTGTACCTCTCTCATCGCCCTGAGCCCGGCAAACATTATTTGGCAGCTGCTCCTCCTCGGTGAGCTGACACCTACGCCAGCCAGACTTGTGGGTCACTGCAAGTGCTCCGAGCGTGGCCTGCTGCTTGGACGCCTCTCTTCGAATGGTCGATGGGCGAAAACTTCGAATCATTCCCTGCTCTTCTCGTCCCCCCAACGTCAGGATTGTTGGTCGTTTCCTCGTTGGATTGTGGCAGTTTCTACTCGCTCCAGGTAGCCAGCTGACACAAGGGACCTTCTCCTCTCGACACCTCGCCGGATATCTCATGGCTTCTTGGCTTTGGGGTTCCGTGAGGCACGGTCCGGAGCGCACAAGTCCTTGGTCCGAAGATCGACCGAATGTGGAACAAACACAAATGCTACAGGAGTTTCTCCAGGAAATCGACCAATCACCTACAACAAACAGGGGTTCTTCTGTGGAACCATCCTGATGACTACTTTGTCATGCTTTCCAGGGTTACCGCGAAAAGGCCCGGCATGCTTGTCCGTGCCCTGTGGTTGACTTGCAATCCTTAATCAACAATACCTCACGCACTTCAGGGACCAGGAAAGAAAAACTGAACCTTTTGGAACAAAATGGAGAATCCACAAGACCCATCCTGTGACGAAAGGTATCCAGGAGCGCTCTCGGGCTCAGAACAACTAAGCCTCTGTCACTCCATGGTCGCAGATCTGCTTTGGCGAGCACTAGCAGCACGTGGTTCCGCTTCACCTTAGAGCCACTCGCCAAGATGGGATATCTCAAAAGAGAGGCACCCTCGAGAAAAAAAAATGAATCCGGCATTTCCCAGCTCTGTAGCTGGCACAGATTTGAACATACAAAGAAGGCAAGTAAGTAGTTTACTTTGGACCAACACCAACATGTCAATGGATTGGTCGAACCACATGCGGCCTTGACAGTTTACATGGACCAAACAGCGAACAACAAAAGGTGAAAAGCTTGGGTTTGGACAATGGATGTTTAAAGGGCCAGGCAAGCTAGCCAATTAGCAAGGCCCCTTATACTCGATTGCTTTCTGCTCCCCTGCTAAAAGTTTCACTTTCAGCGATTGTTTTGTGTTGTTTTCCAGCTGGTTGCCCTTCAGATCAACTTTTAAAAAGTTGTCTTCAACAAAAACACACAGCATGGCTTGTTAGCAGTGTGCAACTCCTTCAACAGTGAAGGTTCCCCTCAAAATGGGGCCCAATGAGAGTCAAGATGTTCTGGGCCCGCATGGCAGTGGCCGGCTGCGTTGAAAAGAACCCCCCTCTCAGCCCAAAGCGAATCGGCCAGCCCAACTTGGGGGAGGAAAAAAACAGGCCCTCCCTTCAACTCTCATTCTGGAAGGGTCCATGGGCAAGGGTCTTGTTGTTGGGCCTACCCCAACTGGACCTAGGGGATCAGTCTTGTCAACAACCTTCAGCCTGAAATCGTTGCCCCAGCCGAGATGCAGCAATACATGCTCAAAAAGTCAACTTAGGACACCCCCCATTAAAAGAAACAAAAACGGAGAAATCCACCGGTCCTATTCAGAATTTGCGTCACCCATAAGAAGTGAATCCCCGTAGACACGTAGAGCATCGAATGGAAGAGATACCAAGTTGTTATCCCTGGATCGGCCAAACAACAAATCCAATGCAGTTTGTCTACCCCTCTTTAGTTGTCTTCCCAAAAAAGGTATCGATTTCCCGGCAAATTGGGAAGTGATACTATAAAGCCTCGCGATTCACCAACTGGAACTTATGCCCAAATTGGGAAGTGATACTAAGCCCCACGATTCACCAACTGGTACTCCTTGCCCAAAAAAAAATCGAGGCCATTTATTTTGCAGACGGCTACATGCAGACAACAAGGGAAGCGAGTACACCGGCCATGCCCTTGTGGATTCCTGCAACATGATTCAAATCAAATCATGCTGCGCTCCCAAATCATGTGGCTGCTGGGAAAATGGTTAATCATCCCATTAAAAACATATCAATCCTGGGATCCCATTAAAAGGGGGACTGTCATTTGGGCTTGCCATTTGGGGTTGTGTCAAAATCAGGGAATCCCCCCCCCAAAAAAAAAGATGAAGAAAGAAAAAAGAGGTTTCCATGTGGTGTCCCCTTTAGCACTATTACACTCAGAAAAACCAACTCCACGTCCCCCCAACGCTCTCGCGAATCCGTGGCAAGTTCCAAGCCTGGACTTTGCACGTCTTGGGGTCGATGTCGCGCTGGCAGGTCTTCCGGAAGCGATACCTGCGGGAAGGTACCAGAAACTCACTGCCGCCGTGCATCAAATCAAAGTCCATCTTGAAAAATACCACTGGGTCAGTGTGCCTGTGGAGGCTCTACTAGGTTTGAAACTGCGAACTGGCGCTCCAAAGTGCAACGTCAAAGAACTCGTAAAACAAATGCTTTGGCCAAACGAAAGTGCAAAGGTTTTAGTTACCACTACTGCGGATTGACCAAATCCTGCACCACTTTGAAACCAAGGGAAACCAGGGCTTGTTGGTACTTGGGGACATCACTCCGGGGTATTTTTAGATGGTGCAGGATTTCGTCCACAGTCCGCAGTATGTCATTGTCATGCATAGGTAGGTAGAGAGCATACTCCTCTGCTAGATTTCACAGTAGCGAACTGGCGCTCCAAAGTGCAACGTCAAGGAACTCGGGATTGGAATAGGGGAAGCATGATCAAATTGCAGGCGGTTGTTTGGTAAACTATGAAATATGGTTCTCTTTCTGGCTTCCCTTAGCGGCCCAAAGCGTGTGGGAGTTTGATTGGAGTGTCCCATTTTGATTGGGGACCCAGCCGGCTGGCTCTCCCCCGCCCCCCCCCCCCCCCGGTCTCACTGGCAACATGGGTTTCGCTCCTCTTTGCCGAAGTCCATGTGAGTCATAATCAACACCTGGTATTGCAAATGTCTAGCCAGAACCATGTAAAGAATTAAAAAAGGCGGCTGCACCCATGTTGGACTTGGGCTCAATTATAGAATGTATATTCTATTGTTTGCTTCCCTTTAAGTCACTGGTAACATGTACAATCTGGGCTGCCCTCAGATCCCCCGCTAACAGTTTAACTTTTAGTGGTTTGAATGGAAACTACCACTAACACTAAAAAACTAAAAAGCTAAGGGGATGGCGGCGAGCCACCAAGAAATGTATCCAAAGTCTAACCCGGCAACCTTCATCTACGCAGGTTTTGCTTGTGGCTCATGTTCCCAGAATGCACCTCGTGTCCCTTCCCTCGCTGCATTGCCCAATAAATGGCGCCAGCCCGCGGGTACGCTCGCGGTTTCTCGCGTGGATCTTAGATGGTTTCAACTGCCAAATCGAAGCGACCAGTGGTTAAATGGGTGTGGGTCAAAAAACCGGTACCAAAATGGAACCCCGGTAAGTGGAAACATGGACCAAAACCTGCGTAACCCCTCCTGTTTAATTTTGAGCGACACCTAAATGGGATATACAACCACTGTATAGCCACTATATGAAGGGTATATGCATCATTTTATCCTGGGGGTAGTGGACTGAGCGTGTGCAACCTATCTTTAGAGTGGATTTGACCTTGTCTTTCTCCGCTGCTCTCTAGGTATCGATGGCATCGGACAGAACGATGCCATGGCCGGACCAGGCCACAGGGACAGGTACCCAATTGGGATACACACCCTTGCCTCTCACTCCCTGAGTGGACTGGCCAGAAAAAGAAAAGAACAAAACTGTTTGTTTACCACTAAAGTGGACAGAAAAAACAAGAAAGAAAAACTGTGTGCTTACCACTAAAATGGGTCTTCCCAAAAAGTTTAAAGAGCTGGAACTCGGGGAGTGAGGTCTGGGCACCCATCCCAGGGGAACGTGACTAGCTTAGAGACATTGCTGTGAGCATGTTTCTTCGGCCTGAGATCACAGCAACCACAAAGGCGACAGATTCATATGCATGTTGCCTCGCACTCCAGTAGTTAGTTGAAAACCAGTTGAACTCTGAAACGCCGGCAAAACAAATAAATCCAGGGAAGGTTTACTGACCAAGTCCAAACTTGATCTTTGACACTAACTAACGTGGCCTCAGAGGACCTCGGAAACTGAGAGAGACAAACCCACGCCAACGCCTTGCACGAATTTTTGGCCGACCGCAGCTTGAAAGGGCAGCGCAAAGGTGCGCACAGGCGCGCGGCTCACGCCTGACGAAGAGGGCTGGACATCGTTTCGTTGTCGGGTGGGGTCCCCCAATTCCATGTTGTTTGTCTTACCCATAAGATGGAAAATGGAACCATTCTAGTGCTACCTTCCCCATTCTTTCCAGGGATCCTTCTTTCTAGAACCTCCAGAACCCCAGAGAAACGGCCGGTTTTCGAAAAGAACGATGGTTGAAAAGAATGGGAAATCAACCCTTGGAACCACCCTCCCCCAACTCCTTGTTTAAGGGGGGTGGGGATGTTTTCTTGGAGTCCGCTTCGAGTTCTCTGGTACATGAGGACGGCCAGCAGAATACGAATGCTTCCCTCAAGAGGACTACGGACAAATTAGTGAGTCCCCAGGGTTTTGTGGAACCTTGAGCGTTCCAATGTCCATCCCGAAAGGGCAATTTTAAACTCTTGGATTTGCTTGACGAAGCCTCACATGTCTCAAAATTGAAACCTGCCTGGTGCCAAACGACCTCAGCTTTGGCCCCCAACCAAACAGTCATATTCTCTTTTCGTAGTGGCTTCCCTTTGACCTCTGCAAAACAAACTTAAAGCCGGTTTCACTAAAGTGACATTCTCAGGATTTCCCGCTAGGTAGTGGCTTGCAGAAAAACCACCCCCAAAATAAATTCAACCTGTTCGCTATTTAAAGAATTAATCTGGGCGGCAAAAAGACTTAAAGCCGTCCTCACGACCCGTGCGCCCTAGGGCTCAGCCAAAATGGAGCTTGTGGGGGTAACAGAAGGATCACAAATAATGCATTCTCCATTTGATCAGGTTGGTTGTCGTCGGGAAGCCAAGAACAAAGCCATCCACTCTATGTTGACACCAAAACTACTCCTACAGTCACTTGGCTTGATGCAACTGGAGCAGCGCTCAAAACCTGTTGACTATGTATCAGGCCTACGTATACAGGTCTTGATCTAATCCTCATTGAGTCACGTAGTACAACTTCCATTTGGTTGAGGCCCCAGGAAAACTAATAATACTTATAGTAGTGATTCATTCCTGTTAAACCCAACAAGGGAAAATAAAACATATTCTTAATAGTGGTGTTGGGCGCAGCTCTGTGCCTCTTTGGCGTCGCCATCTTTCCTCTCCTGGGAGGACTCGCATGAGCAGTGGGGGCCAGAAACCCTTGCCGACTTTTGGTTCAAGATGGTTGAACCAATTTGTCCACTGAACCAAGTAATTAGCAGGATCACCTACTAAATCTGCCCATGCTTGGGAGGTTGAGTGTTGCTGACAATACACAACTGCAGCGGACCTAAAACCTTGAGCAAAGGCCACTCATGACAAGCCTCTCACGTCAAGACCTACTAGATCACATATCCTCCCCACTTGAACCACACCAGGCGACTCCCCGAACTCAAACACCAAGTCGTACACACGAACAAACAAACACCGTATACATATACGTACACACACACACGCACCGGCCGCGCCTCTGCGGCTGCTGCCACTTCTTTCCTCTCCTGGCTACAACTCCGAAGCGCCACACTTAGGAAAATTGCAACACACCCACGCCCTTCAAACAAGGCAAGACATGAGCACCCCACAACATTTGGCCTCGTCTACACCATGTCCACACGTCCTGCTCAACTGTAAACCAAACTGAGCAAGACCAAACTTAGATACCAAGTACCATACACACAGACAAACAGACACAAACAAAACGCGCAAACAATCAAACAATCAAACAAACAAACAAACAAACAAACATACATACACAAACAAACAAACAAACAAACAAACAAACAAACAAACAAACAAACATACACAAACAAACACACACACACACACAAACAAACAAACAAACAAACAAATAGTCAACACACACACAAACAGACACACCCATACACATGCAAGCGCACACCGCTGGCCGTGCCTCTGTGGCTTTTGCCACTTCCTTCCCCTCCTGGCTACAACTCCGAAGCGCCACACTTAGGAAAATTGCAACACACCCACGCCCTTCAAACAAGGCAAGACATGAGCACCCCACAACATTTGGCCTCGTCTACACCATGTCCACACGTCCTGCCCAACTGTGAACCAAACTGAGCAAGACCAAACTTAGATACCAAGTACCATACACACAGACAAACAGACACAAACAAAACACACAAACAAACAAACAAACAAACAAACAAACAAACAAACAAACAAACAAACAAACAAACAATACATACACAAACAAACACACACACACAAACAAACAAACAACTAGTCAACACACAAACAGACACACCCATACACATGCAAGCGCACACCGCTGGCCGTGCCTCTGTGGCTTTTGCCACTTCCTTCCCCTCCTGGCTATGACTCCGAAGAGACGCACGACAAAGTTGCAACGCACCCACGCCCTTCAGCAAAGGCCCCTCATGACAAACAAATATCTACAAGCCCCAGCTACACATCTACTATCACATCCTGTCCTGTCCAACTGTATATTCTCAGCGACAAGAACGAAACAAACAGACAGACAGACAGACAAACAGGCAGACAAACAAACAAAGAAAACAAACACACAAACCAACAAACCAACCAACCAACCAACCAACAAACCAACAAACCAACAAACCAACAAACAAACACGCACAGCCAACCAACCACCAACCAGCCAAACAAACAAGCAGCCAACCAACCAACAAACCAATCAGCCAACCAACCAACCAACCAACCATCCAACCAACCAACACAAGCAAGCAAGCAAGCAAGCAAAGCAAAGCAAAGCAAAGCAAGCAAAGCAAAGCAAAGCAAGAGAGCAAACACACACACACACACAAATCGCAAGCGCTGTCAGCAATGCATGGTCAAAATGCAGCGCATCAGATACACACACACATCAAGTAAGGCCAGTTGATGAATACATTTCACAATTGGCCCCGTCTACAACACGCCCACACACACAACCCACTGGCCTCTGTGGCTTCTGCCACTTCTTTCCTCTCCTGGCTAAGTAGGATTCCGAAGCGACGCATGGTCATCACACAGGCTAAAAACCCTTCACATTGAGCCCCATCTACAAGCAAAAAGCACACGCCCACACACCATTGCCCGCGCCTCTGACTCTGTGGCTTCTGCCACTTCTTTCCTCTCCTGGCTGAGGATGACTCCGAAGCGGTGCGTTGAACAGTTACAGCACATCCATACCCATCTGCAACACAAGCACACACGCACACACTTACACATTATTGCCCGTGCCTCTGACTCTGCAGCTTCTGCCACTACTTTCTTCTCCTGGCTGATGACGCTCCCATCAAAGGCCACTTGCAATAAAACCCTTCAGATTTAGCTCCGTCTACAACACACCAACGCACAAAACCCACTGGCCGTGCCTCTGACACTGTGGCTTCTGCCACTTCTTTCCTCTCCTGGCTGAGGATGACTTCAAAGCGATGCGTTGCAAATTTGCAGCAGATCCATACCCATCTACAACACAAGCATACACACACACACACCATTGCCCGCGCCTCTGACTCTGCGGCGTCTGCCACTTCTTTCCTCTCCTGGCTAACGCATGGTCAGAATGCAGCGCATCACACAGGCTAAAAACCCTTCACATGAAGCCCCATCTACAACGAAAAACACACACCCACACACCATTGCCACTGCCTCTGACTCTGTGGCTTCTGCCACTTCTTTCCTCTCCTGGCTGAGGATGACTCCGAAGCGGTGCGTTGCACATTTGCAGCACATCCATACCCATCTACAACACAAGCATACGCACGCACACACACACACACACCATTGCCCGTGCCTCTGACTCTGTGGCTTCTGCCACTTCTTTCCTCTCCTGGCTGAGGATGACTCCGAAGCGGTGCGTTGCACATTTGCAGCAGATCCATACCCATCTACAACACAAGCATACGCACGCGCACACACACACACACCATTGCCCGTGCCTCTGACTCTGTGGCGTCTGCCACTTCTTTCCTCTCCTGGCTAAGCAGGATTCCGAAGCGACGCATGGTCAGAATGCAGCGCATCACACAGGCAAAAACCCCTTCACATTGAGCCCCATCTACAACGAAAAGCACACACCCACACACCATTGCCACTGCCTCTGACTCTGTGGCTTCTGCCACTTCTTTCCTCTCCTGGCTGAGGATGACTCCGAAGCGATACGTTGCAAACTTGCAGCGCATCCATACCCGTCTACAACACAAGCATACGCGCACACACACACACACCATTGCCGGTGCCTCTGACTCTGTGGCGTCTGCCACTTCCTTCCTCTCCTGGTTGAGGATGACTCCGAAGCGGTGCGTTGCACATGCTTAGCACATCCATACCCATCTACAACACACGCACACACGCACACACAGACACACAGACACAGAGATACACAGACACACAGACACACAGACACAAAAACACACACAGAGACAAAAAACACACAGAGACAAAAACACACAGAGACACAGAGACACAGAAAAACAGAGACACAGACACACAAACACACAAACACACGCACACACACACAAACAGACACACACACACACACACACACACACACACACACACACACGCACGCACGCACGCACGCACGCACGCACGCACGCACGCACGCACGCACGCACGCACGCACGCACACACACACACACACACACACACACACGCACACACAGACAGAGACACAGAGACACAGAGACACAGAGACACAGAGACACAGAGACACAGACACACAGAAACACAGAGACACAGAGACACAGAGACACAGAGACACAGAGACACAGAGACACAGAGACACAGAGACACAGACACACAGACACACCGACACACGCACACACGCACACACGCACACACGCACACACGCACACACAGACACACAGACACACAGACACACAGACACACAGACACACAGACACACAGACACACAGACACACAGCCACAAAGACACACAGACACACAGGGACACAGGGACACAGAGACACAGAGACACAGACACACAGACACACAGACACACAAACAAACAGACACACACACACACACACCACACACACACACTCACACACACACACACACACACACACGCACCATTGCCCGTGCCTCTATCAATACCCTCCAACTAAGGCCACTTGCTATAAAACCCTTCACATTTAGCCCCGTCTACAACACACCAACACACACACACATACAACCCACTGGCCGTGCCTCTAACACTGTGGCTTCTGCCACTTCTTTCCTCTCCTGGCTAAGTAGGATTCCGAAGCGACGCATGGTCAAATTGCAGCGCATCACACACAAACACACTTCAACTAAGGCCCCTTGTTCAAAACCTTGCACATGGAGCCACACGCACCTGTCTACACATCCTTCCATGCATGCGAAGCAAAGCTTGACATCGTGGCATCACGACGAGGCACGCGCAAGTTTGGAAAAATTGAGCAGGTACCAAGCACGAACAGAGGCTTCACGCACCCGACCTAACAAAGTATGCGACATATATCCCCACGTGAACGATGTCCACCAACTCGTCCACCAACACGTACACAAAAACAGACACACAAAGAGACACGCCACTGGAAGTGCCTGTGAACAAGCTTTCATCAAATTGCCAAATGAGGGCTGGATTCATGCCATGCATGTTGTGCTTTCTATTGGGGGGCACTCACGCTTGAGGTTGCAGTTCAGGCTGCGAACAAAACTGGAGTCTGTACGTACTTCAGCCTTCCAGCAAAAGTTCTTCAATCCAACCAAAGCTCTCAGTTGTCAACGAAGAAACTGCAAATTCTACAAGAACTCAAAACTCGAAAGAGTTGAACCCCGGAGGAACTTCATCATGAGCTCATTCAGCCAAGGTCTCGAGTGCGTAAATTGACACATGTCATGTGGTCTGCCTCAACATTGGTAACCCCTTCCAGCCCCGCCCCCCCAACCACCTTTTTGGACACGGTATTTGGTTGTATGGTTGCAAAAGCAGTTCTCGGGGGCTGGCTGGAGAGTTTGTCAAGCTCAAACAAAAACGCCCGGAGGCGTCGGGTGCCCTGAAAGGGGCATTCGCTTAAAATGCGGGAAAGCAGAAAGGTGGAAAGCGAGGACACAAGACTTCACTTTTGTGGGTGAGATTTGGAGGGCGACCAAGATGAAGAAGAAACAAGAGGTGCTAATCATGAGGAGCTCGCTTGGTTAGATGTGTTCCTTTGTGTGTCCACGGGAGGGAAATCGGAAAGAGGGCCCTACTATCTATACATTGAATAGGTGGTTAGCTCAAGCGCCCCGCGGGCTAGGAATAGGGTTGCCCGTCTGGAGGAAATCAACCGACCAGACATCCTCAAAGGGCTCATCAAAAACATCGCCATATGGAAGCCTGATACTGTTCTGAGTTGAATTGTGGAGGAACACACTTAGGATGGCCTCGGCTTCTCTGTTCAAAACGGAGTGTTGGCCAGTCCGATTCTCGCATGCATAGTTTTCATTGGGGAACCACTGCAGAGATCTACAAAGACAGGGTATCATCACTTTCGTCTCTGTAGGGAATAACTTAGGATTGTCTGTTTGGTGGCCATGGGTTTTGTTCTAGGGTACCTTCCCCATTCTTTCCAGGGATCCTTCTTGTCAGCAAACCATCAAAAACCCAGGAAACAGCCGGTTGTTGAAAAGAACGATGGTTGAAAAAAATGGGGAATCAACCCCTAGATTTGTCCCATGTCTCCAAACCTAGACCTTCCCCGGTCAGATCGAGCAAAACAACGTGTCTATTTCAGATTAAAACAAGCATTTCGTGGACGAAAACACTCAACGGGAAGCCCGCCAATGTTCGTGCATCTCCAGCTGACTTCAACGCATGTTCCACTGGCTTCTGCCGGTTTCCGCTCTTTTTCCAGGACAAGCACGGCCAACACAGTTCAAACCCAAAAGTGACCAAGAGAAATCCGCAGGACCCAGAAATGACCACCGCTTTTGCTTGACCAAAGGACCCCCCGTCACCGTTCTGGTACTCCAAATGGGCATCACGTTCTGCAACTTTCAAAGAATACATGTGTGGCCGCAGTCGATCCGTGCGTGCGTGCTTGACCTCACATCTTCAACACTCCAAGAGCAAGGGGCAAGAGTTCAGCAACGTAAGCGCGCAAGACCGCAAGCAGGGCTTGGACGACTGGCCTCCCCTCCAAACCACGCAAGTTTTGCAGCTTATGCCCTTTACGCCGGGTCAAGAGCTTTTTGCAGTGGATTCCGATGCTCTTCCCACTGCCAAACGAGCTGGCTCTTCGCAAACTTGCTTCTGCGTGAGCGAGCTCGGCTTCGGATCAGGAGAGAAGCGGAAAACCAAGGCAAGATGCCAGTGAACCGGCAAGACGCTTGGGCCTCGCGGCCACAAAAGACACGCCCAGCAGGCACTTAGCCCATCGTCCTGCTGCCATACACCGCAAAGCTCGGTGGGTTGGCCCCAAGCGTGTCAAGCTCGATATTGAGCTCCACGATATTGAGCTCCATGCATGGCTCCCCCCACACACGGCCAACAGTGTGCAGGAGGCAAACGCCTGAAAGGCGCGCTCTGATGCCTCCTGATGGGTAGGGGATGCGTCCAATTCAGTTTATGTGAGATGCTTCAAAGGGGAAAGGGGGTACGGCGTGCACATGAGCACACCGAACAAGGCAACGCCCTGAATCGGTTGGCGCAATCGCCCAGTAACTCAGACACATGCAACACCAAGTTGTCAAGATCCTAGAGCCTATTGCTGGTTCTGCAAATTAGACTTCCCCGCCGTTTTGCAGAAAGGGTGTCAGGAACCACCATTGAAAGAAAGAACAGTATCGAACCAACTCTCTAGACCCGAGAGGGATGGTTTTATTACATGCAATGCTGATACGCTGGCCTGAACTTCTCTCTCCGGCTGCTCTTGGATTGGCGTCGTCCTCAAAGTCAGAACAAACGCCCGGGCCAAGGACGCATCCGTTGAATTCTTGGTCCAACCCCAAGGTAGCACCAAAAGCAACACGTGCAGATTTGCGTGGTATCTAACGCCTACCCCGGACAATAGCATTGGAGAAGACCCCAAGTCCATCACACACGTCACAGTCCAACACTCCATTGGTCGCATTTGCATCAATCCAGAAGAGGCTGAAGCAACACGTTGGAAAGCTGTGAGGACCCCCACTCCACATGTAGAGTTGGAGTTGCTCACAAAAGGACCTGATTTTGGGACCCAGGTGTGCCTCGCCCTATTGCACGAAAGGTGATGGTTTGCTTCACAAAACAAGACAACACTCACAAAGGTACATCATATCTGGGCTACCCTCAGATCCCCCGCTAAAAGCTTAACTCTTAGTGGGTTAAATGGAAACTACAACTATAAGGCTAAAAAGCTGAGGGGATGGCTGGCAGCCACCAAGATATGAGAGGGTCTGCCAAAGAGGCTCAGCCCAACCATGCTGTCGCTGTCAACATCGACGCGCCGTGCTTTCAGCCCTAAGCTGGAGATTTGCAAAATAGAAGCGCACAAGGTCTGTGGTATTCTAGAGAACGGTTTGGATGTGGTTTTCGTGGATCCACCCCTGTAGAATATTAAATGAGTACTAAAAAGGGAAGAAAAGGTCAATTCCACAAAACGCCATCCAAACCGGTTTCTAGAGGCAAAGCCAAGGGTTCATCCCTCTTTCACCTTTGCGGCTCACTTCAAATGGTTCGTCCCTCTTATCAGTAGGCCCGGTACCTCATGAAAGACTGCACACCTCAGGTTTCCCCCAAAAGGGCAAATCGCCCTCGAATCAGCCTGCGCTTACCCTGACAAGCTGATGGGCAAGTTGGAACAAGTGGCAGCAACTCCCTTTCTGACAGAACAAGCCAAAACAAATCCAACATCGATTTGCCCCAAAATGGTCTCCCCAAACTCCAACAAAACTGTCCGGAAAAAAAAAGCGCCGTTGCCAAGCAGCACAGCTCTCTCTTCTTCCTGGCGAGGCCGCCACTACAGCCGCTAGCTCCCCTCGTTTTTTGGTCTGGAAGCGCCCGATTTGATCCGGAACCAAGCTAGGTCCTCCAGGTTTGAGAGGTTAGAATAAGGGTACCATTTTTTTCTGTAATCTACTTTAGTAGGGGAACCCTCCCCCAAAAAAGAAACTGTAAAAGGGCACCTAGCTTGGGGGCCGATCGCAAGTCCACCAACCCTTCAGAACAAAAAGGTAAGTCCGCTTTGCCTCCAGGACTCCGGGCCGGCCAAATTGATCTGGATTTTGACCCATCCACTTGGCAGTGAAACCCTCTGCAAAAAGTGAGTCTCGCTTTTTGTGGGTTTCGTGGAAAACCCAACTTGACTTCAAAAAGTTAAAGTCTAAAGATCCAAGCCAATCGCAGTCCAAGTCAAATGGTTTCTCCTCAAACCCTGATTCCAGGTCCACCGAGGTAAATAAACAAACCGCTGGGACCTCTCTCTTTCGCACGGGGCTCTCGCTGGAAACGGCAACCTTTGGGGTTTGCAGTTGCCATTGCACGTGGTAAAGTGTCTTTTGTTGTGGTTCGGACCCACTCGTTTGGGTTGGAAAGGAAACATGAAAGGCTACCACCCATTTTTCTTGGGGGGGGGGGGTCCCTTTTGTGGAGGTGCCCAAATAGACCTCGGGTAGATTCGGATTCGATTCGGGTTTTGCGGGGCGGCATGTAAGCTTATGCTCATGCTGCAGGCACTTCCACAGTTCAGCACGTCAGGTATTGCCAGTGTCCAACACAATTCTGCAAGTGTTAACCCCAAGGCAACAAGTGAAATTGGCCACCCCTTTCTCCCAATTCCTTCTGGTTTCAACCAGTCCCCTCAAGTTGGAGCCCTTTCTCCTGCCCAGTGACGATAAACCGATTTGGAACTCGATAGCTTCAGCGGAACCAGATTGATTCGGCTTCTTGAAGCCCTTCAGGGAACCTGAATCGAAGGGGTTCTTTCCAGGGGTCGCAATCTAGGTCCTCCAGTAGAGAGGTTAGAATAAGGGTACCAACTTTTTTCTGTAGTCTATTTTGGTAGGGGAACCCTCCCCCAAAAAAAGGGTGAGAAAGGGCACTGCTGGGTGACCTAGCAATACGTTGCTGAATCTTTCAAGCCTTCGAGCTGTAAAACTTGTCGTTGGTTCATGCATTCAGCCTGTCTGAGCCGTGCCGGCGCAGCTTGGCCCTTGTCACATCTTCAATCAACTGGGGGTGGATCAAAAGGTCCTGTACACGGGATGACCATGGGGGAAACAACTGATACGTCCCACTAACTGGGAGAAGTTACTCATGGTGATTTGGCGGGGAAGATTGATCAACCCCCAACTGTTGACCCAATCTTCTCTTGGTTTCCCAAAGGGTTGGTCCACCGCATGTTGCAACCACCTAGTCAGTCTCAGCCATCTCTCGGCTTCCCTCAGTCCTTCCACTTGCCTTTTCTGTGTACCCCTTCCCCACGTACCCCTCAACCACCTTGGCTACTCAAACACACACTGTTCTGTATCCCCCCCAAACATCTTGCCCCACAAGAAAAAACAACACTCCCCACGTGTCCCTACAAAAATCAAAGAACCCATGCCCTATAATTACCCCTGCCGGCGGGACCTGGAAGTATAAGCTTGACCTTTTGAGACTTTGACTCAACTATAGGACACAGTTCTAGGGGACACTTCCCCATTCTTTCCAGGGATGCTTCTTTCTAAAAAACCTTCAGAACCCGCGGGGAAACGGCTGGTTGTTGAAAATAACGATGGTTGAAAACAATGGGGAATGCACCCCTAGAACATTGGTCAGATTCGGTGACCGAGATACTCACGTTTTCAGCTTCCCCCCCCATTGTGGGCTTCCCATGTTTGCCTTCAAGGGGTTTAAATCCACATCCACCAATCCGAACCACCAACTAAGAACCTGATGTTTTAAAATCTCAGATGCCCAGTGGCCATGGGGAGCAAAAAGGGCACCCTCTTTTTGTTGGTTGAGTTTAAAGGAGAACCCCTAACCCAAAAAGAAGTCGAAACAAATGGCACCACTGGGCAACAAAAACATTATCTTAACCTCCAAAAACGGGGAGGAGTTCTTTTCCGCTGCTCCCAGGCGTCGCCTGGACTCGTCAAGCTGAACGAATTGTTCGGCACAACGGAAATGCCATGTGGCCATGGGGAAAAAAGGGCATCCCGTGTTGGTTGAGTTTACAAACAAAAAAACAGACCCAACAAAAGCTTGTTGAAACAAGAACGCACCAACCCATCGGAGTTGTCTCCTCTTTGGTTTTAGCTTTACACGGGAACCCTTGCCACCCGGAAAAAAAAAAAAGGAAAAAAAAAAAAACGGCTGGACAGAACCGGAGAACCTCCCAGTTGCTTGCCGGTGCGAGAGATGCAGGGAATCAGAAATGGAATAACCCCCAAGAAATACCATCCAACTGGTGGTTTCCTGTGAGGGGACCAAAGGTGACCAAAGCCTGGGTTCATTCCATGTCTTATCCCTACCAATCACACCAATCGCAAGTCTATGTGGGTGAACTTAGTCCCGCTTGGACACAAACTTGGATCTGGAAGCTTCCTTCTAAAGGAGCCCTTATAAAATGTAAAACATGAAAAACCCTCAATTTCTTTATGTTATGTGGTGTTGTTTGTGTGTGTGTAAAACCATGTCATGTAATTTTGATTTCTTTGTTGTTGGTCTTTATTTGTTTGCGGTCTGTTATATATATATATATAAAGGGGGGAAAAAAACAACAAACATGGAACCTCGACCTCCGCCCGTTTGGACCCCCCCCCCAACATCGCCACAAAACGCCTTCTGCGCTAGGCGCTGCTTCACCTCCGCCAGGCGCAGCTGCAGCGCCTGGCGAGTGGCGAGTCCAGGACGGGAGACTTCTTCAGGGTCTCATTTTTCTTGTTTTTTTCTAATTTAAAAAAAAAAAACAACATCTAGGGGTTGATTCTAGCGGTTTGCAACCTCATCCATGACTTGGTTGAGGGGTTTAACCCAAAAACCTACACTCCCTCAAAAACCTACACTCCCTCAGACTAACATGGAACCTCCCCCAACCGGGCTCTGCAAATGGAACCACGTCTTCCATTTCGGGGTCCGAGGTTCCATGAAATCGCCTGGGGAGGGTTAAAGTCCAAGAATTCGAGTGAGGAATGGTGGCGTCTTTCAACATGTCATTCTAGGGGTTGATTCCAATTCCATTCTTTTCAACCATCGTTCTTTTCTCAAAAACCGGATCTGTTTCCCCTGGGTTTTTGATGGTTTCTTGAAAAGAAGGATCCCTGGAGAGAATGTAGAAGGTACCCCTAGAAACATCGGCGCCCGCAAACTGCGAGGTGGCTTCCTTGTAAGGTGCTCCGGAAGGGGGAAAAAAACGTGAAACAAAAAAACAAGAAAACAGGAGACAAAATAGTTTGTGGTTTCTTCTTTCTTTCTTTTTTTTAGGAAAAATACGTTGCTCGGCTTGTGTTTGGTTTCCTGTAAAGCCACAAGAATGGAGTACCAACTACCAACTGGAGCCAGCAACGTGTTTTAACCGTTTCCTTGCAAGGTTTCCCTTTGAAGCCACAAGAAAGGTGCACCAACTCAAAAGATGCACCCATAGTTCATTGCCCCTTGAGCCAAAGTCTGGGCAACACCAAAAAAAAAAAGAAGGAAAAAGCTGCGGCATCCTCGTTCCTTTCTGTACATGGATTTGGGTACACCATGTAAATAAATACCAGGTTTTGCTTGTGACTCAGTTGGCACCCAGCACCTGAAGTGAAACAACGGCGACATTCCTCCGAACGCGCCTCCTGCTCCTCCTGCAACTTTCGCTCCTTCTCCTCACTCTCCTGGGCGATCTCAGATGCCACCTGCTGACCTCTCCAATAACTAAGTCACTTGCTGAGCAAACCCCGGTCAGAAAAAGACTTTGCGGATGCCACTAAAAAGGTCTTACCAAAAAGTAACAAGTCCAAGAATCGTCGTTGTGGCCTCAAAACATGATTGCCGTTCCCCTTGGTTCCCCTTTGAAGTGTTGAAAAGAAGGTTTGTCTCCAACTTATCCCCTGAATACTGTGACTCCACTTGACAGTTGATAATACATATATATATATATGTATAATATACTCAAGCTAACGTACCTGAAGCACGGGGGCACCAGGGAGGCTGCGTCCTCAAATTGTGCTGAAGCTAATGGATTGTCATCGTTATCAACAAAGGGTTCTAATATGTTCTCATAGAGCAAATCCCTCATTGCAAGTCGATTGTCTTCGATGTGATAGGCATCAACGCTCCACCCCTGAGTGCTCCAAGTTCAACGCTTGGGGGGCGCCCTTCCCATACATCAATTTGGGGACGGGTACGGTTTTGGCAACGCTCAATACTCATGGATTCCCAAAGTGACATGAGTATTGGGTGTGGCCGCGTTAATGCAGATTCCCGGTGTTCACGGTTTACACGGTTGTGGAAATTAACCATCGTGATCCCGAAGAGGTTCATTCCCACATCCATGACTATTCTATCACTTTAAGCGGAATTTCCTGAGGCCAACCACCGATTGCACGTGCAAAAAGAAGAGCCTGGTATTCTGGATCCGCTGGAAGATATGAGGCTGCGATTGCATTTCCTCTATTTAGCCATTGAATTGGGGATACCGCTTCCCTTGGCCACCCACAGAAATCAAATCACCGACTCGGCACTGAATGGCACCCCGAGCCGCCGTCTCGCCAGCACAGGCCCCACTCGCCTGCAAACCAAAACACATTCCTTGCTTAAGCATGGAGGCAGTGTGCCAACATCGGGGAACCCCATTTGCCTGGCGTTTCACAAGGATCTTCAATTCCATTCAAACGCGTATAGCACCTACATGTTCAGTGGGAAAACACGACACCATCTTTCTCGCAGGTTGGTCTCTTTTTGCTGCTAAGTGGGGAACAAGTTTCAGAGAAACCAACTCCAGCAACAAGGAAAATGGTGGGAAGGGGGGGTGTACTCAATTGGACAACTCGAAGTTGAAGGGACTCCCCCAGGGTCCCTAGACTAGTTCGTGACTGATAGTGGCAAGTAGTGACTAGGGGCAATCCATTCAGGGCCACTGCCATTTGGGTGATTCGGTTCATGGCACCCTTTTCCTGTTTCTAAATTGGGGCGACATCTCACTTCCTGAGTCGGGTGGCCAGAAAAAGTCCTTAGCGAACTTCTGGTTTGCCACTAAAATGGCCCCAAAAGTCTACACTCCCTCAGACTAACATGGAACCTCCCCCAACCGGGCTCTGCAAATGGAACCACGTCTTCCATTTCGGGGTGCGAGGTTCCATGAAATCGCCTGGGGAGGGTTAAAGTCCAAGAATTCGAGTGAGGAATGGTGGCGTCTTTCAACATGTCATGCTAGGGGTTGATTCCAATTCCACTCTTTTCAACCATCGTGCTTTTCTCAAAAACCGGATCTCTTTCCTCTGGGTTTTTGATGGTTTCTTGAAAAGAAGGATCCCTGGAAAGAATGCAGAAGGTACGTGTGGGTATGGGTCAAAACTAAACCACCAGGGACCGCATGCTTTAGTCCTTGTTTCCATTTACCAGTGGGCTCCATTTTAGGGTAACTACTCTTGACCCAAGCCCATGGCACGCCCTCCCCCTTCCCATTCTGAAGCTTGAAGCCCGCCCGCCCCTTTACGCCTCCTCGCGGACCGCCTCCAGGCTCTGCACCAACGCCAGTTGGAGTTCCAACCTCGAGCGCCGGCGTCCGCTCGCTCCCCTCGAAAACGCACCCTTTTGCACTCAAAAGGAGAACCTGCAGGGTAAAGCGCTCGGCCCGAGCGAAAAATCAAAACAAAAACCTGCTGCACGGACTTGTTTTTGGAAAGGCCCGAGGGCGAACATGTTTGAAGGACCAACCCTGCAGGTAGAAGATCTCTCAATGTCCTCCAACTACAAAAGCGGGTTGGATCCAGCAAGTCAGATGCCCCACCTAATATGATGGGTGGCACTTGCTGGTCCAAGTTTGGTCGTGACACAACACCTGGTATTCAAGGGAAGTCCACCCAAAACCCTGGCAGAGAGATCAAGAAAGTGCGTTTATTTGTGGTTGGGACTGTTCCACCTTCACTTGCCTAGGTTTTGTGAAGGCGTCCAGAGTCGTACATGCCCTGCAATAAGGCTGTACCCCTATTTTCGTTGTAAATGTATAATGTATATATATATATACACATTATAATTTCGTGTCACCCATGAAATCCTCAAGACCCTCATTGTCAGACGGCTATGACATCAACAGTACAGCTCTGAAACCTTTCCCTGCCGAAACGCTTCGTTTAGGTAGCACCAGGCAATCGCCAGGTAAGGCGCAGCCACAAGCCTAAGGGACCCAGTTGTTTTGAACAACTCCCCCCGCCCCGGCCACAGAAAAAAGCACGGCGAGCCTAAACCGGAACCTCAACCCCCCTCAAAGCCCCTCAAACCTCCTGGCGACTCGTTTCAGGCGACTCGTTTCAGGCGAAGCCTTCGCCGCGGTTGGACCCAAAAAAGGGCCCCGGCTCCTCCTCTGCCATTGCCTCTTGCAGGCGAAGCTCGAAGAGCTCAGGGTCCTCCCAACGGCTTGCAGAAATTCGCCATGTAGATATCCATCATCATAGTCCAAGGACATATGCGTATCTGACATATGATTCTATATGTGTGCCTTCACAAATGTGTGCATATGTGTACTTATATGTATATTCAAGCATTTGTCTTTGTTTGTACACGGGTGTTTTAAGTGTTCCTTTGGTGCTCATTAAAAAGGACCCAAACGATACCGCCTCAACTCCCCGCTCCTCCACCTCCGGCTCCGGCTCCGCCTCCGCAGGCGGATCGATCTGCAGGGTTCGGGGGTCGCCCCTTGGTTGGTGTTAGAAGATCTTTAACCAACAGGGAAACCAACACCGCCGCCACCACGACCACGACCACCCCCCACCACCACCACCACCACCACCACCACCACCACCACCACCACCAGCAGCAGCAGCAGCAGCAGCAGCAGCAGCAGCAGCAGCACCAGCAGCACCAGCACCAGCAGCACCACCAGCACCACCAGCACCAGCACCAGCACCAGCACCAGCACCACCAGCACCAGCACCAGCACCAGCACCAGCACCAGCACCAGCACCAGCACCAGCACCAGCACCAGCACCAGCACCAGCACCAGCACCAGCACCAGCACCAGCACCAGCACCAGCACCAGCACCAGCACCAGCACCACCGCCCCCACCACCACGGAACAAACACACACACACACACATATTTCCCAAAAACATGCAAGGGTTGAAGATCCAAGTGGCAGCCAAGAATTCCTGCCCACTGCCAACATCTGCTTGCCCGAAAAATGGGTCACATGGTGTTCCTATTGGTTTCCCGTTAAACCAACTGGCCAAGAGTTCACGGCCAATTCGAAGACTCGCAGTGAGCATCGGGCCTTCGGCTCTTTGGCCTCAGCCTGCGCCTGATGCGGGGCTTTCGGTAAGCCGCGACCCGCGTTCGCAGGGATCAAGGCGAACAAAGTAAGACTCCCAGACAGAGTTTCGAAAGCAAATCAGTAGAATTAGAAAAAACAAACTCAACTATGATGTAAAAAATGGAATTCCGAAGCATGTTCAGCATTTGTTTCTCAAACATGTTTATAACAACACAAGTCCCATTACGATATTACGATGATGTTTTGTACTCTGGTAAATGTCCGAAGAACAACCGGTACCCAACAAATGACAACTTTGTTTTAATGTGTTCACCAGAAGAGTCCCCCAGGTCCCCAGCCCCAAATTGATACACTGGAAAGGTTGAACAAATAGGTATGGGTCATTCTTTTTGTCCACCAGGAATTGGACCGCAGGTTCTTTCGTCCTTGGGCAAGCCATTTACCAGGGCAAGCCATTTTGGGGTTACCCCATTTTTCACCGGCCAAATCTCGGTCGACTACATCGCCAAGCTGGCGAAGCGAACCCCACGCGCCTGCAACAGATGCGCGTGGGTCTCTCCATGAAGCACCGTCAAAATGACGTGTACATGGAAACATTAGCGAGTTCAACAACGAACCCCCTAGCTTGTGTGGGCTTCGTGCCTCTCAAATCAGTGGCGTTGTTTTTTTTTTTAATGTATTGACGTATCAAACCCTTTCACGACACTTTCCGCAAAGCTTCCGCGCTGTGAAGGGTACCTTCCGCGAGCATGTTTCTACGTAAGTTTGTATAAGTGCTTCCGCGGGCCTTCCGCAGGCAAGCTGCTTCTGGAAAGAGGAAGGTAGCTTCCGCGAGGGAATTCGTGCGTACGGGATGCTAGTGAACGTGCTTGGCAACAACCACCCAACCAAAATCAAACTACAATGTGCGAATCAAACCCTTCTGCGAGCTTCCGCGGGGGAAAAACAAAACACCTTCCGCAAATCTTCAGCGAACCTTCCGCGACTGCAGTGCGGCGCCACATTTTGTTGATGTCAACATCTGTACATGCTTGCTTAAGCGGAAAAGAAACAACGCCACTCAAATGAACCCTACTCTGAACGTGTCTTAAAATCGGGATTTGGACCCAAGATGTCGGCTCTCCTTTTGGTTCCCCTTACGAAGCCATGAAAAAGGGCACCCTCAAAGAAACATGTGTTGTTTCATCTCTTTCTTTTTTTTCGGGGGAACCCCTTGTTGGTTGGTTTCTTGGGAAACCAAGAGGAATGGGTCCAACCGAAAGAAAGATAACCCCCACACGAACGACGGCTGGACCGCACCCGACTCTTGGCCTGTTGCCCCTCCATGGAGGCAGCCAGAGCTTGCTGCAGCATCAAATCCTGCCGGTTCTTCAGCGGGTCATTTGCAGCGATTGCAACGAAAGGAACCACACACAGACTAGTAGATACAACGTCAGCATCATCTGAAGGTGGTATTAATGGTTTATTTCATGTTGTTACTTTTGATTGTTTTGTTTCTCAAAACAACAACAGCATTCAATCAATAAAGATTCGATTCAGAGCACCAGAAGGTTGACACGGGCCAGTGATTACCATGTCCCTCTCGCGATGGCGCTGTCACTAACAATATATATTCTACTTTTGACAACAACAATACCAATCATCACCCATTCCCATTGAACTCAACAGGGAAAGCAACATCCAAGTCAGCAAATGGAAGCCAACCAGTTGACTTTCCAACGCACCACTTCTTGAAGCATCGCAGGGTGGCGGCCTGTTGGAGGCTCTACTAGGTCCTCCAGATTTGAGAGCAGAGAGAATCAGTTGGTACCCTTTTTCTTCTGTAGTCTATTTTAGGGTCCCGAACCCTCCCAACCAAAAAAGAAACGGATAGAGGGCGCCGATCGCTGGGCCTGGCGGAACTGGATTTGTCCTCCTCCAGGTCAGCGTCTGGCGCCGATGCTGCCGGCGCCGCCGGTATCGCCGGCTTGGGCTTTGGCTTTGGCGCAGGCCTGGCCGGCTGCTGGGGGGTAGGGGGGAAGGAAAGGGGGGCTGGACCATGCGAATATGTGTGTATATTTATATACATATATATGGGGTCCCATATGGCTGTGGCTCCGAAAATGGCACCCTAAAATGGCACCTTGGTAAATGGAAACAAAGAGTGGAACTTGCGCAACCTGGGTCTTGTTTTTTGAGCCACACCCATATGTATTACACAGAAGCTAGTCTGCCAAGAACAAGAAGGACAATCTGAAAGAGAACCCGCCTGGACGACCATTTTATCCTCGGACAGTGACCCTCTTCCAGCTTCCAATTTATACATCTATACACATATGTTCTTATTTATATCATTCACTCTATACAGGAGTATACATCAGGGGTCAGGGGTGTCTAGTGCAGGGACAGGTGCCAAAAAAAGAAGACTTGAGGATTGCCTTGGACCATCCCATGTTTTTCAGTTGAGAGCCAGCCTAGATGGCTCAACTCAGTGGCTCAAAATAGGCTCGAAGACATCCACGCGCCTTGTTCCACGGTATCATGTTTGTGGAAATTGCGCCAACAATATCAACTTTAGAGTTAGGCCCAGTTGTAGAATGTATATTTCATTGCTTGCTTCACTTTGAGTCACCGGTAAAATGTAAAATGTATCCTAAGTCTACCCCAGTCAAGTAAGTCATAACATGATCTGCTTAGTCATAACTAGTCAAGCTCAAGGAACATCTAACGGCAATTCACACATCTGAGCCTTGAGCCCCCACAAATTCTCTGGTCTTGCGACCATGACCCACGGGGCAATGTCACAAGGTTTGCGAGGAGTTCACCCGCAGGCAACCGTCAACTGCCAAAACAAAGTCTGGCAAGACCCATCTTGCTGAGAGCTTTGGGCATGTCGATGGTTCATGCCTCAAGCGGTGGACGCTTACATGTTTGTGTTTTACAAACAAATGCAAAAACGGCATTTGCTCTTTAGCAAATACACACATACAGAAGCATTGGTTGTTCGTGAAAAAAAATGCCAAAACAAAACAAAAAAAACGAAAACCGTCAGGTGCAATGGGTGTTGTTCAAAACCCAATATTTGTGGCACACATGCAACAACCTTCATGAACGCCAGCTTTGGCTGGCTCACAGCGCTTGCACCCCACCTTGCGGGAAATGAGCCTGAATCGTGACTTGCACCCACCAATAAGAAACAATGGTAGAAGTATGTGAAGCTTTCTCACGCTCACTGCCAATAGCTAGCGGCTCATGTCAGTGCCCATTCAACTTTCCATCTTCTAGCTCCCTCCAAAATACCCCTGCCTGTGCTGCGACTGCCTGGCGGAAACCAGCTTTGCCGACAAGTAACAAGCATGAGCTGGGCATGAGCCTCCGCTGTCCATCCAAAAGAAACTATAGGAGTCGGTGGTTCTTTGAGAGATACCCTTTTTGAAACTTTTAGGGGTCCCCTAGTTTGACACATCCCCGCATCATACTGTGGTCATCCATCCACAAGATGAACACAAGCCGTCCCTTCGCAATTTCCATGTTTGTGCTTATGTGTTCCTGGGCACAACACATTGCCGGCGGATCCGCTCAAGCATCGTCATATCCATGCTAAGTGGCGGAGATGTGTCTGTGATCTGACCAAAATCTGGCCACCACGACAAATGAGTGGCTGTGGCAAGAGGCCTATGCTGAATTCCACTGGCAAGAAGTTGAGCAAGACCGGGCAGTTGGAATTCAGCACAAGTAAACACAAACAGCATCTCGCTCAAAAGCCCAGGCTTGAAGGAAGTTAATATGCCCCAAAGGTAAACAAGCAAGACAGCACAGCTCTGCGTGATGCAGCCCTTTCAACATTGGACAGCGAAGATGTCATGATGCATATCAGGGCATGGCCAATAATGTCTCCTCTTGCCGCCGGCTGGATGCGGATGCCGCAGACATACATTATGCAACTAACTCCGAAGCACCCTGCCAGCTGAGTCTGTCGTTTTTTGAGAGGTCCCTTTTCGGGGTTGCGTTCGGAAACCCAAGGGAAACCACCATGCTGGGGTCCCCTACTGTGGATGGACGAAATCCTGCACAGCCTAAGAGACCCTGGAATGATCATTCCCCTGCAAATACCAGCAACTAGTGGTTTCCCATGGTATCAAAGTGGTGCAGGATTTTGTCCATCCGCAGTAATTCACGATGGCTGCCCTTGCAATGGAAGTTGACAGCGTTTGGAAAGCTAATGGTTGCCCCTTAGTACAGAAGCCTCAAGGTTGACAAGAAATGAAAAATCAAACTTGGAGGCTCCCCCATAGTAACTTGAGAGGGAGATGAGAAATCGTCTGTTCACACTACCATCCAATGAAAAGGGCCCTTGTCCACTTCCAGCAGTTGCAACAATAGTGGCATAGGTTTCAATAATATAAACAAAGGAAAAGAACAAGTCAATGATTCCCTTCTTACCAGCTCCTTTAACCCGCTGTAATGACAATATGATGGAGGCTTACCAATTTCCAGGATTAACAGACGGGAAATGCCTCCAATCATATCACTTCCTCACTTCTCTGTCTCCATCCATTCCTTTCCCGGCCTTTTTCATCTCTAGATGAGGCCGTGGGATGGATGTAGGAGAAGGAAGTGAACGAAGTGAAAGGAAGAGATACAGCGGGAGAGATGGAAACCGCTGACGAGTGAATCTGAGGTACGAAGGGAAAGGAATTCATGTGTCTGGACTCTCCTTACTATTCCTTCTCCCATCTCCACGCCGTCGATGGTAGGGAACAGAGAGACCAGACGGAGAGAGGCGTGAAAGAGATGGAAGGAGGATGTGGTCAAGGATTTTCTCTAAGACACGCCGCACAGTGAAGAATTCTCCAGTCAACAGCTTATCACCCATCCCTTCATGCCTCACAGAGAAGACTGAGAGGCGGGATGGATTCTAGATGCTGGAAGATGGCTGACAGCAGATAGGAGACAGGGAGCGGTGAGTGAGTCTGTGAGCCATTCCTTTCCTCTCGCCTCCGCTCCATCCAATCCATTCCCTCTAACTCCCTTTCACCTCTGTATCTAGGATGTGATTAAGAGGTGAGAAAGGGAGAGAAAGGGATGGACCAGCCGGTGGCTGAGGGTTGAGTGGAAGGGAATGAAGTGACCGAGAGTTGACGGGTTAGTTAGTGACTGAAGAGAACCCGTCTATATCTCCCTTCGTTCACTCCATCTATTCCTTCTTCCTCTCTTCGTTCGGGAAGTAATGATTCCTTTCTCTTCCCGTTCGTTCATTCCTTTCACTCACTCATCTGGATCTCTCGCCTAGAGGCGGTTCCTGGAGATCCAGTCTATCATTATCTCCGCTCGCTTCACTCACTAATACACTTCACGCTCCCATCTATTACTTCTGGAGCGGCTATCTTCATTACACTCCATTTCCTTCGTTCCTCATCTCCTCACCGTCGATGATAGGAATCTTCAGGAACAGTAATTAAAAGGAAAAATAATAATGGGAGATGAAGGTTGGTCTACTGGAAATCCCTCCCTTTCATCTCTCTCATTATTGTTCCACATCCTAAAGTAATTTGTAGATGGATGTGGATAAAGAATGCGAGGTAACGAGGTGAAAGGAAAGACAAGGAACGAAGAGACGCTTCCTCACTCCTCTATCCGTTCGGTCTCTTCTATCTACTTCCTGTGGGTTAAGCCGTTGGCAGCACCCAACAGAGAAGAGAGAAGGAACGAGAGGGATGTGAACGGATGGAGCTGTTCCCTTTGTCCCAGCTCTTGGTCTAACCGTGCACTTACCATCCCTCACTCTCTCCTTCCAAGCCTTTCTATTCCTCACGTCATAGCGGCTTGGCTGCAGAGTGAGGAGAGAAAGAGCGAGAGAAGAGAGCCCTTCATTTCCTCTCTCCTTTCGTCATCCCTTTCCATCTCTTCCCACGGTCATCGATTCCAAGAGATGTAGAGTGGAGAGAAAGAGATGAAGAGAAAGGGATGTATGACCGCGGAACAAGCCGCGAGGAGAGGGATAAGGGAACCGTTCACTCCATTCCTTCCTCACTTCACTCGTCAGTCATTCCTTTCTCTTCCCATGCCGTCCCATCTTGAAGCTAATTGGGGACGGATGTAGAGTAAGAGATAACCCGCCAGAAAGAGAGGTAAAGAGGCGGGGAGAAAGGGATATCAGTCGCTTCTAGATGCGACACCATAAGATATCCTTTGGTCGTTAGGACAAGAGAAAAGGAATCCCGTACGCTCTCTTCGTTCCCTTTTACCTCGTCCTTCGTCCCACGACCTGACCGCAGAGGCTGGAAGGGAGTTAGGGACGTGGGTAAGAGGAATGGCATTATACTGTATCTCTTGGAATCTCTGTCACTTGTTCTCTTCTCTCAACTCTTTCTGTTCTCTTCATCTTCCCTCACCGTCTGGTCCAGCCGCTGTGTGGATGAAGAGCAAGGGTTGGGAAAGGGAGTGAGATAGAGATGAGAATAAAGTGACGAAAGGAAGCATTCCATCTCTCTCACACACTCCCTCATCCCTCTCCTCGCCGTATCTCTCCATTCCTTAGGTCATGTCGTAACAGCTCAGAGAGAAGCGAGGAGATGGGGAGACAGGATTACGCCATCTCACCTCCGTTCGTGTGCTAGAGTCTTTCATGCCACAGAGAAGAGAATTAGAAAGTGAAAGAAGCCACAAAGAGAAGAATTCCAAGATTCATTCCTTAGCCAACTCTAGGATTTTTATTGTTGGCGACATGTCCTGACTCATCCCTTCGCCAGTCCACATTAATCTCCAGATTCATTCCCTTCGTACCTCAGCTTCTGAATCTTGGATAGCTTTCTTCATTCCCGGCTTCTTGGCGGTTTCCTTTTGGTACAATGGATGGCACGGGCAAATGATCAGAACCAGCCTGCAACCAGTGGCATCTATATTCAACCAAACTGACCTGAAAAGACTCTGGAAACTTCCATTTGCTTAATTAAGCCAACTGGAAAAAAATCATTTGTCCAGTAGTGATAGATTCCCAAAAGGGAAAAACAAAAAATGGAAGGAACAACCATGACCCTGAACACGAACCTGCAGGCCCAAAATTCGCACGGGTCCATTCGCGAAAACATGCTCAGCAGCACTGGTATTGCCGGTAGCGGCGCCAATCGTCCATGGTTCCAGCCTGAATTCAGGCAGGTAGCAACCCATGGAATTTTTCGGGGTGTGTCTTTTGGGGGGAACCCCCCAAATGGCTTCGGTGTTCCTTCTAGTTTCCCTTTCACAACCGCCAAAAAGAGGGTACTTTTAACAAAAAGAAAAAAAACATAGGTGTTTAGCTAGCGATGGATTTAAAAACCCTTGCTAACGTTGGAGGACGACCGACCAATTCATGAACAGCTTTGAGCTCCAGACTAGGTGCTAGCAGCTTGCGGTGGATCAAGCGTCTGCATACTGCGGCCGGCCAAATCTTTGCCCAATCATGTCCAAGACACGACAAACACAGTGAGAGTTTCAGAATCGCCTGAACTATCCACCAAGTTGCAAATATATACATCTATATATATATTATATATATGTATATATATATTATGTGTGTATACCCTCACTCCCACTAGCATGGCACCTGACAGGGGGTCCTTACAAGAGGAACATGTTCTTCCAGGTACCCTCCCAGAGGTGCCATGTTAGTGGGAGGGAGGGTAAATGATCAGGTCTGAACATATTTTCTCGGTTGTAAACTCGGTGTTCTGCAGCACGGCTCCCCTTCCTCAAGTCCCCACTTGAGGGCCAAGGCCAGTGGACACCGGAGACACATTCGCCTGTGCGCCCCTGCGTGCCCCTGCTTGGTATGTATGTGAGTAGACTACAACACCACTTGAGTATAAACCATGTACATATCTATATTATAATAACAGCACAACTGAGAAACAATCTATCAGCACAAGCAACAGATGTGTCAAAGAGGTTCAAACAACATAGAAAGTACAGCTAGAATTTGCCCGTAGCACCACCCCCCGACTTTCGTGGAGATCTACCCACCGGGCCGCCCCGCGTTCCGCGCCCGGGCGTCCGCGAGCCGCTTCTCGGCGGCCTGGCTTGCGCGAAATCCGAAACGTCGAAGACTCGTGACTTAGGGGGAGACTACTGTGGATGGTTGCGAAATCCATTTCGCACCACCTAAGAAAGCCTGGAATGTTGATTCCCCTCTAAATACCAACAAACAGTGGTGGCTCATGGTTGCTTAAGTGGTGCGAATTGGATTTCGACCATCCACAGTATCACTAAGTCCTGCAGATTTGAGAGGTTAGAATAAGTTGGTGCCCGATGTTTGTTGCTGTAGTCTATTTGTTAGAAGGGGAACCCTCCCCCAAAGAAGGGAAAAAGAGCACTACTGGAGGAACTAGCTTTAGACCGGGATGCCCTTCTGCGATTCCCTTGGCGCCATTTCCCATATCAAACTTAGTCAAGGTGCATTTAGGGGGAATCCTCCCGCATCCCTGGTTTGCCCTGTATCCCTGCTAGTTGGTTTCCCTGACTCTTCGTGGTTTTGCGTTTGAAACTACCTGGAGTCTCCATGACCCTTAAAAAATGGGGTCACTACCCAAAATTAAGGGGTTATGAACCCTTTTTCTAGGGGTCATGGAGACTCTAGGTACCACGAAACCAACTAGAAAGCTAAAACCCAGCCATGTGCGAGGGGCCATGTGAGTTGATGCAGGACTTGTTGAAGGTGTACCCGTTTTTTCAGCATCGAATTGGCCACCCGGAATCCTTCCCCATTGGAAAAAGGCCTGCACACCAAGCCCATGTTTCGTGGAATGTTTAAACTATGTTCGGCACCTGGCCTACAGTGGGGAAAGTGTTCCGGCTTGGGCATGGCTTGGTCTAAGGGCACCGCCAAAATAAATCAAAACCGCTTCCGTAGTCCCCACCGGACTTCCGCGCGGAAAGCGGAGCCTCCAAAGAAAAGCTGAAACTGAGGGCGCCACTGGTCTGGGAAATAGTTATTGGGTTGGGGGGCTAGGCGCTACTGTGGATGGACGAAATTCATTTCGCTGGAATGATGATTCCCCCGTCGGTGGTCTACCATTCGTTGGAGGACGCGAAAGCAAACAGCCCAAATCTCGACGGGAAACCAGGGGAAAGGCCTATCTTCCCATGTCGTCAAAAATGCAAGGTCGATTGTGAGGCCGTTGGCATGACACCAACCTTTCACAGGACAAAGCAATCCCCTCTATCTGAATGGGGAGGGTCCCAATTCCATTTGTCTAGCCTTTGTCACAAAAGAGAACATAAACTATAAATGGAATTCCAGGGGTCGAAATCCCCCCTCCCCCAATTCCATGTTTACGGGGCTGGGGTGATGATTCCCTGTAAATACCAGTAAATACCAACAAGCAATGTGTTCAACCAACGAACTCAAAGTTGTGCGAACGAATTTCGCAACCATCCACAGCACAGAAGTGGATGCATTCCCTTCTCACAATGTCTAGGTCCTCCAGCAGAGAGGTGAGAATAAGGGTACCCGATTTTTATTGTAGTCTATTTTAGTAGGGGAACCCTCCCCCAACAAATGGGTGAGAAAGGGCACTACTGGGGACCTAGATGTGACTTAGATTTCTGCCTACGCCTCTGGACATCTGAAAACCTCCGCAATTCCGAGCCTGCAACGCAGCTTCTCGCTGGGCAGAAGACTGGCCTGGCGGTCTGCGTGCCAGCACGACCGCCCGTGGAGTTTTTTCTTGCGGAAAAAAAGGGCACCACAGTGGTACTGTGGATGGACGAACTCCTGCACCACCTAAGAAATCCTGGAATGTTGATTCCCCTGCAAATACCAACAAAACAATGGTCTAATGGTTGCTTGGGTGGTGCAGTCCATCCACTGTATGTCCGTGTCTGTAAACTGAGTGGGAAAAACGTGCCCCCCCTCATCCTCATGGATTCCTTACCCACATGTGGCGTGCTTTGGACCCAAACCTCCAGTGGATGTATACAGCCTGTTGTTTAAAGAAGATGTTCCCTTTCAAGCAAAAAGAGCAGCGGGCACCAGCAGAGGTCTAAGTCTTTCACGTGATGCTCAATATGCCCTCTATGTCCTCCAGTAGACTAAGGGTACCCTTTTTTCTGTAGTCTATTTTAGTAGGGGAACCCTCCCCCCAAAAAGGGTAAAAGGGCACTACTGGGGGATCTAGCTCTATGCCAAGAGTCCGCCGGGACAAGCAACACATCCATCTTGCAGTTCCAACAACCATGGGCCATACAGGTGACCCAAAGGTGATCCTTTGACGGGAAAAAGTTGACATGGAAACCGGTTGACAACCAACAGCCCTGCGCGATCTCGATCACGGGCTTACTTGACCCCAACCTTTCTCTACTCGAGAATCAAGTAAGCACGGGCCCCGGGAAGAGGTCTACACAAAAACCTCCCCTCACATCGCTGCTCTTTGGATTACATGACCAACAGCCCAAAAGTGGTCCTAGCATGGTTTCAACGGCTTTGACAAGGGTCTCACAACAGCCCTCTCAAACCGAGCAGAAGGACAGCCTAATAAAGCGCCCGGGAATCGGTTGTGGGCAGTGCTCACATGATTGCTTGATCACATGATTGCATGTTCATCCACACAGCCAAGCTTCAAGGCCCGAGCAAACAAAACAAAAACACGCTAAGAATAGGGGAACCAGTTTCTCAAGAAGCGTACGACCTACACACCAAGACCCCTTGATGGAAGCCTGAGAAAGCTTACTCAAAAGGGGTGATTCGTGTCTCGCAAACTGACTTCCAACTGAGCCCGAATTCAGGACGACAAGGAATGAACCCTCCCCATTTTCCCCCAGGGTTAAAGAACAGTCGGCCCTTTTCCAAGCAGTGCTGCAGAACGCTTCTGGAGGGTAGTCATGAACATAAGCAACACAAATCCCTCACTCAGCTTCCCGGATAATTCCATGATAGGCTGGACGACAAGCCTACGGGGAACAAGCTCAAAAGGACATGGAAGTGTACTGAGATATCCCCCAGATTCACATCGAAACCGAATGGCCATGGGTCAAAAACCCGTCCCGCAAGTGAACATCCCAATCCCCACTAAAATAGGTTCTTGAATTCACCCACCCCAAAATGAGATCCCAAAACGGTTTTGACCCACCGCCGAATGATTTGTTCTTGGCAGAGGGCTATAAAATCAATGCTATGTTACACAAACGGCAATTACTGGCCAAACACGGTCGTTCCGAATTGACCATTTAAAGAACGGTCGAGGACTTCCAGGGTTTTCAGGAATCGACTCTCCTGCCAGTTGCTGCTTGAACTCGGAAAACACTCAGCCTGAAAGTCCATCTGGCAAGGCGACTTCAGCCTTCGGGGCCTGGTTGCGAAGTTGCGAAGCTCGAGCACCGGGACTAATTCGTCAATCGGATGACCCCAATTGGGCGAGGAAAGTGTGTTTTTCTTCGTTTTATAAGATACTGCACTTATACACCCAGCTGGAAGCGGTTTAGAACCTGTTCAAGGTCCCCAAATCAGCTGCAGGGCGGTGATCGTTTTGCATCGTGCTTTGCTGACAAGTTGGCATAGCATGCACAAGAAGCTGCCAATTTTCTGGAGAGATTCTTAGTAAGGTCTGAAAAAGACAAAGCCGCTGAGGCGATTCCCCCTACCATCTCTATTAAACCTGTATAGAGGTGCGCGTTCCTGGTGAACAAACAAATGGACATTTCATGAAAAGACATTGTTCGAAAACGTATTCAAATGAACCAGCGCCTACCTGTCGACAAGGCCCGAAAGAATTGAGCTGAAGGACCCATACTGCCATACACCAAACCCGTGCGTAGAAAGACTGTGTGAGTGTGTGTGTGTGTGAAGTGCAGTACTTGGTCATTCTGGCACGAGCTGTCCAAACTGATCCCCTGCTAAAAGTTTGACTCTTGGTGGGCTACATGGAAACCACAACTAACTCACTTCCTGAGTAGATCGCCCAACAAAAAGTCTGACCTTTGTGTTTGCCACAAAAATGGTCTTCCCAAAAAGTTTAAAGTCCAAGAACTCAGGAAGTGAGACTAAACCCTAAAACCAAAAAAACTGAAGGAACTGGGCGGCTGGGAACCGCCAAGGCACTGTGCCTCCAAATGACGATTCATAGAAATGTCGTCAGTGTAGCGCGATGTTGATTGACGCAAACCCGGGAAAGGGGAAGACCGTAACAGACAGACAGACAGACAGACAGACAGACAGACAGACAGACAGACAGACAGACAGACAGACAGACAGACAGACAAACAAACAAACAAACAAACAAACAACACATGGTTGGAAACATGCCCCCCTTGCTGAGATACCAAAATGCTCGCTATCGCATCACTTCTCTATCATCTTGACGGGGAATTCGATTGCATCACAGTCCAACAGATCGCGGCAAAAACGAAATGTTCCGCAACGATGTAATTGGGCGTTCCTGACCACTTATCCAATATCCCCCAGACCATGCAGGTAGGACCCCTTTGGGGCATTAGGGCCCTTTTCGTCTTCAACAGCAGACACATGAGTCACAATGAGTTCCTGGTATTGAACTGGTCTACCCAAACCCATGTAATAAATCTAAAGGGCACATATGGCTGTGGGTCAAAACCAATGGTACCATTTTGGGGTAGGTGCAGCACCCATTTTAGTTCATTATAGTGGGGATTGGGATGTTCACTGGGGGTACGGGATTTTGATCCATGGCCATATCCGCACCTATGCTGGATGCTGTATCTTGACCACCTCCAGTCCACGCCAGAGAAGTAGCCTGCGAGGGCCTTCCCCCGCATAAATTTTGTTTTCTGGCGCCCCGGCGGAGCCGCCCGTGAAGAGGGCCTGCACGAGAGGGAATTCTGTACGGCACTCGTTGAAGACGTGGGCAACACTGGCTAGGTCCTCCAGTGGATGCATATGAAACCAAAGGAGCAGCGGGCACCAAGGCAGCAACTGGAAGCCAACAAGTTGACTTTCCAAGGCACCACTTCTTGAACCATCGCAGGGCGGCGGTTGGAGGCTCTACTAGGTCCTCCAGATTTGAGAGGTTAGGATAAGTGGGTCCCCTATTTTTTTCTGTAGTCTATCTTAGTAGGGGAACCCTCCCCCCAAAAAAGGGGTGAGAGAGGGCAAGCTGGGGGACCTGGCTGGGGGCACTACGAGCTGTTTGGCAACCAAGGCAAAAGCGGGAAGCCAACGGCGTGGTGATTGAACACGCTGCTTTGTTGAGCACCAAGTATCCACACTCCATCTTAGAATCTTACATCGGAAGGAGTGTGTCAACAGCAACTCCTGAAAATGGCAGCAGCTCTTGGCTGATGCCTTAACTGAACATGAATGGGGGGCCTAGCTTTGATACCTCCAGCTACTTGCGGCGGATTGTGACCTGGTGCCTCTCAGCAAAGCAGAGCCAAGCAGGGCTTAACATCTTGTGTTCAACCCTAAACCGGAATCCATCTATTGTTGAAAGAAAGCCACTCTCAGCAAGCGTTGGCCCAACCTTTAAAAACCAAAAAAACAAAAAATATGAAAACCCGTTCTGAAAGGATCCTCATTGTCACATTGTGAGATCCCACATATGCCACGTATCCCACATATGAGAGTGCGCCGTTCCCAACTTACCGACTTTCCTTTTGGAAAGGCGGGCTGCGCGTCCATCGGCACAATTTACAGTTCACAAAACGAAATGAGGAATCCTCAACCATCCCTTCCATTTGGTTAAGACCCCTGGGAAAAAAAGCATCAGTAGTGATAAATTCCTTTTAAAACCAACAAGGGAAAATAAAGAATATTCTTAAGCAAATGGAAGATCATCATGGGTCAACCCGTTGCAATTTTCGCAGAACTTGTTTTTTCCGGTAGCAGTCAGCCCACTGAGGCAACGGAACCTTCCCAAACAAGGGCACCTGAGTCATAATCAAAACCTGGTACAAAAATAATTGACCCAGAACCATGTAAGGAATTGAAAGGCGGCCGGTATGGCTGGGATTGTCTCTTACTCACCTTCATCAACCCGGGGTTTGATTGAGGCTCACCTAGGCTCAGAGTCCTTTTCAGAGACACCTTAAGATTCTGAGGAAGGTTCTAAAGAGCCTTTTCTGAGGGCAAGGGCGCCCTTGGCTGTTTCTGCAGACACAAGTCTGGGTGATTGACAGTACTGCGTGACTGGTAGAAGAATACAAACCCCAAAACCAAGACCATTTGTTTGAACCTTTCTGGTGATGCAAGCGGGGTCCTAACCTGCGCGTCTTGCAATGAAAAAAAAACCTCCCATCATCGTTGATAAACGTTCGTTTCCATTTAAAGCCAAACTTGAGAGGGGTTGCACGAAATAAGCACCAAATAAGGATTTTGCTGCATATATGCAGCAATTTGGTGTTGAATACAAACATTGGCAAAACATAGCAAACAGACTCGGCTCCGAAAGGCCCCCGCCTCCGCCTGCCGCTTCACATTCAGCAGTGAGCCTTTGGCGCTGTCCACTGCGGCCTCGGGCGGCATAGATTTCCGGCAGGTCAAACGCAAGCAAAAGAATCAGAACCAAACTCGCCATGCATTCGCGTCATTTCTCAACCACCGGTTGTGGAAGTTCTGTGCCGCCGACGACTTCAGCTGCCAATAATAGATTGTCATGTCCTCAATGTGGTTCGTCGTTGCAAATGGCTGCACCATTTTGGCTTTTGTTTTCGTGTGTTGGATGTTGCCTTTTGAGGGTGGGGGGGGTGGCTCCAGAAAGGGGTCCATCGTTTTCTCCCGCAAGCGCCAAACGAATCCTAAAGGCAAATATCAAGCGAGCAAGCTAGCGAGCAAGCCAGCAAAGTAAGCAATGCGATGCATCAACCAAGAGCGTCTGCCAGCGGCTGCTATTGACCTGTGTTAGTTATTTAAGTCTGAGGTGAATGTATCTCAGGAGTAGCTTCCATTGCGTGGTATACTGAACCTCTGTCAAACGAAGCTGAACACATCGCAGCCCATCGGCACGAGAAGATGAGAAGCGGCACGCGACCGATGTATCAAACGCCTCGAGAACCACGGCACTTGGAGCAACCGCGCAGGATGCATTGCTGAACGGCGAGAATGAGAATGGACTCAGCGTAGATGGCCTTTGGTTAAATAGATGGTTTTCGCAAATGGAACCACAGCAATCTAGACCAGTGCCATCATGTTCTACCCACACTAACCTTGATCTGGGACATCTATGCTCAGTGGGGTTCTCCTGCCCCTCGATCTCGCTGGACTCCCCTAGTCTTAAGCCCTGTGCAGAAACGCCGCACGATGAGATATCTTGAGACAGAGACAAAGCAACCGAAGACAAAGCGAAATCGCATGGTACGTACGTCTCAGCATAGGGAACCCCGCAAAAATGCGTGTTTGCTTTTTGGGGTCCCTTTGAGCCGACCTGAATCGGGTACTCAAAAACACACACTTACACAAACTTACACAAACTTACACAAACTTACACAAACTTACACAAACTTACACGCACACAAATGACAAACACAAAAACACAAAACACAAAAGCGTAAACACACACACACACACACACAGACAGACACGCACACACACACACACAAGCACGCAAACACCCAAACACGCAAACACGCAATCACACAAACACACAAACAGGCAAACAATCAAACACGCAAACGCACAAGCACGCAAACACACAAACTCACAAACACACAAATGCACAAACATACGAACACACAAACGCACAAGCACACACACGCACAAGCACGCAAACAAAACACAAACACACAAACTCACAAACACACAAATGCACAAACGCACGAACACACAAACGCACAAGCACGCACACAAGCACGCAAACACCCAAACACGAAAACACGCAAACACGCAATCACACAAACACACAAACACGGACACAGACACAGAGACAGACGCAGACACACACACACACACAAACACACACACACACACACACTTAAACTCCCACACACACACACAAACACAAACACAAACACAAACACAAACACAAACACAAACACAAACACAAGCACAAGCACAAGCACAAACACAAACACAAACACACACACACACACACACAGAGCAGCCATATCGAAGAATGGCAACGATGTTGGCGCACTTTCCCTGCAGGGTCCGCCCATCCAAAAGCTCGACGGACCTAAGCTCCGAGCACGCTGTGGCTTTTCCACCTGAGACATGCAAATGGCTGGGGCGCAGTCTGAATAAACAGGGATCCGTTTGCTGTGGATAGAAACATCCTGCACTAGTTGGGATGCCTGAAGCCCATTCTTAATGGGAAACCCGCCTTCCAACTGGTCAGGATTTTGTCCGACAGTATTTCCCGAGCAAGCATCAGCCCACCAAAGACACACTCTTTTTGGTCAAAAGGGGGTTGCTTGCGAAAAACAAGAAAGTTTGGGAAAGGCCCCAACAACAAGCATTTGCGTGGCTGGCGGTTCCTAGAGGCGGATTAGGACTCTAACAGGAAACCACCACTTGCTGCAGTTCCTTACGCCCTCCACCTGCAGCTTGCGATAGACTTGCTTCACGCAAGGAGTTCCCAACCAACCGAGCTTTGGGCGAGGCTTGCCCCGAAAGTAGGAAACCCTCCAAACAAGTGGTTTCCTTTTGGTTTCCCAAGCCATCCCATGTCATGTTGTTCGTTGTACCTATTGGTTGGGCAAGCCAAATTATGCTCAGTTCATATCTATGGTTTGTTTCCTCTCAAGCAAGAAACCTTCCCTCGACAAAATCACTCCCGTACTGCAAGAGCCTTTCTCTCGCGGCATGTGGAAGGCCTCATGTCACCTACAGCCAAGTCACGTCACCAAATCCCCTCCCCCCTTGGAGATGTCAACAATCAAGACTAACTACCCTCCAACAAAGACCCCGCAAAATGGGTGGTCCCTCTGGCTTTTCCTCTTGCTTTTCCTATCAACCCCCCCCAACAATAAGATTAGCTTGCCGGGTTGGGCCAGCCCAAAATTCCCTTACACCCGCCTGCGCAGGCCTTGCGGGGCTTGCGCAACGCACGTCCTGGCGGCTGACTCGCAGATGGCAAAACGATCCGAACAAGTGGAGTCGCAACCAGAACTCTTTCTTTAGGGGAACCCTCAAGATGGTGGTGTTCTTTGTGGTGTCCCTTGAAACCAACAAAAATGGGTACCTTCAAAAAACAAACAAACCTGGGCTGCCCTCAAATCCCCAGCTAAAAGCTTAACTTTTAGTGGGTCAAAAGGAAACTACCACTACACACCAAAATTATAAAAAGCTAAGGGGACTGGGAGCCACCAAGAAACGCAAAGGTTTCCAAAAGGGCACCCTCTAGAAAGACACCCTCTTATTAGAGGAATGACGAGGGCCGTTACAATTTCTGGCTCATGTCTAAAAGCCTGGTATATGGAGGTTGTCAAATATTACTTTTCCTAAAAACCCTCCAATCGCCGGCCTTTTGCGCGACCAAAGCGTAGCAAACTTGGCCACTTCTTCCTACCTTACCAGCATACATGTAGATGTTACCCCAATGGCGGCCCAATCGCCAGCCTTTCGCTATGCAGGGTTTCCCAATCGTGCACAGCTTACAAGCTACCCAAATACATAAGTTGACGACATGCATTTGCGGACCCCATGCACTAACGGAGCCCTAGCTATGGAACTGGCAACATTCTCAGAACCAGCCCACCCTGCTACAAATACCTTGATGTTGATATGAGTTCTCCCCCAAGGGCGGGAGTTTTGAAGAGTTCATGTTCAAAAAACAAGGTGTTGCAATGGGTTGCACCAGGTGTCGAGTATGGAGATCGGTTGCCGCAGGTAACAAACGAGTACGTTGCCCAGGGGCAAAGAGACAAATATTGGAACAACCCAACTTGCTTCCATTTGCTCAAGCCCCCCTAAGAAACAAAATCCAGTAGTGATCGAGTCTCTTTCAAACCAACAGTGGAAAACGCAACATATTCTTAAGCAAATGGAAGCTTGATATTCTGTGTTGATACCTTAAGGTAGTTTGTCCTGCGCCTGTACGTTTGCTGCGGCCTAAAACAAGGCAATCTACCATCATCAGCATGTCATCAGCATGTCCATCTCAAACCAAGAACACGAAGCGAACCACCTTGGCCCAACTGGTTGCAACGCATGACATCCCTGCATTCTTTAGGGCCACTGAGCGTCTACAGCTCTTTCGACGCCATAGACAAGTACCAGCACTTTTGGTGACAAACATGCAGTAAGACCAGCTTCCAAAGCGGAAGGAATCAGTGATGCATGTCATCCAACAAACGGGCAGAGAATGGAATCTGCCGTGTCCAAAGTTGAGAAGTTGAGCAGGCAAAGTCCGGGCCAGTGGAAGTCTCAGGGGATGCAAATAGACGCCCTGTTAGGACCTGTCAAAGGCGGTCATTTTGCGCCGCCTTGTCCGTGCGAACCAGGGCCAAAGTTTCCGCATGCCGGGTCCCCTGCTGTAATCCTTGATTCGACACGTGCGCTGAGGGTGTCCGCAAAGGAGCCCTTTGACCAGGCGGATCCGGGCGGTAAGGCAATCCTGATTCCCAACCACGCACGGGTTGCAAAAGGGTTCCTCGTCAAGACCCACCCCATTTTAATGATTTAAGCCCCTTCACTGACATCTGCAGGCATCTCTTATCAACTCCTAGGACGCAAGCTGGAACCTGTTTAAACTAGGACCTGTTTGGGGTCCCTTGACATAAACCTAGAGCAAAGACTGCGTTTGCATAGGCAAATTTTACAGTTGCGGCCCCTTTCCAGGTTCGTGTCACGTTGCGGCTTCCGGCCATGCACCAGTCCTGCGCTGGAGAGGGCGACCTTAGCTCTGGTTTCAAGAGCACAAATTGTTAAGAAAATGGCCGCGGATGTGCCTCGTTGGACACCTTCAAATCTGTGGTGGCTTCCTCTTGACGAATTTTCTGTTCATTGCTTGCTTGTTGGTCTCCCACGTAATGTGGCTGGCGTCTCATCAACATCCAAAAGTGGCCCCAACCGAAAACGAAAGAAAGGCGGTCGAGGGTGTTCAGGTCCTGGACCCCGAAACTGGTTGGCGTGCGGGTTTCCCGGTAGACCTCCGACATAAACTGGACGGTCTATATATAGACACGCTTGGGCAATAGTCACTTGCTCAGGCGGCTCCACGGTCCTGTTGGTTGTAAGCAGAAGCCAAAATGAATCGCAGCCAGGCTGCCAACAATTTCGCCGTTTTGGCAGTGTCCCCAACAACCATATGAGAAATCCTCTGGTACTGGCAAAGGACATGGGTTATTTGGGGCCCCTATCGGCTAGCAGTGTTGTGCGCCGCGCATGGGCCGCAAGCTAGCGTTTGCGTTGAAAGACGGAAGAGGAACAAGAAGAAGAAAAAGAAGAAGAAGAAGAAGAGGGATATGCAAAGTACACTCTGGCAGCTGCGGCTCGAAAACAGCAACTCTTCAGCACAAAGTGTAGTATACGAAGTGCACTTTGGCAGCTCCGGCTCCAAAGCCGAAACTATTCAGCACAAAAGTACCGTAAGAAGCAGGCACAGGCTCAAAAGTCCCAGCTTTAGCTGGCTGTGGGTCAAGACCCTGTACCCAACATCAAAATAGGTGGCAAATGGATGTTCATCCACCCCAAAGTGGAGCCATAGGTATGCCTCATGGCCAACTGTTAGTTTCAAGCGCAGCATACGAAGTACACTTTGGCAGTTGCAACTGGGCAAGCCTGGCATACGAAGTGCACCTTGGCAGCCCCGCCTCGAAGTCAACTTTTCAGCAAACGTGTAGTATACGATGCTTCCACTTTGGTCCGAATCAGTATAACTGTCACAGGTGTGGCACCAACAAAACGCGCGTTGCCCAGCATCATAACATCCAAATGTTCACACTCACGTGACGCCCAACACGTTCAGACACATATCCCGTGTTGCCCATAGCGTATTGTTGGCATAGGTGTCCTTTTAAGGGAAATAGATGGGCTTCCCTGGTAGATGATGAAACCACCAGGTAAACCAGGAATCGCCTTCTATTTTTTCTACCAAACCAACCAAAAAGGACACCGATGATAACTGTACAAATCTTGCATTTCCAGGAACCGGCGTCATTGTTTCTGAGGTCTATCCAACCCCTGTGGAGGAAACGGCTTGGGGGGCTTCTGACCTAGTCGTAGCCGGAGTGGAGTGCCTTTGGAACACCGTTGACTATGAGTCCCACCACATCTCGGCCCAAACACAAGGCATCATGCTTTACGGGTATCGGTTTTTGGGGTGTCCCCTATCGGTTGTGCTCCCTTCACGTGTTTTGCAGCTCAAAGCCGAAGTCCACTCTCCCTTTCATCTCCTTTCATCTAAAGTTCATGATTGTTGGAGGATGGAGTTTGCGGGTTTCCCTTCTGACTTTGGCCCGCGCTGATCGCACAGAAGCGCCAACGCCTCTTGGAAGTCATTCTCGCAAGTCTGGCGCGCGGCTTCGATGGAAACAAAGCGGCTTTCCCTTTGACTTTGAAACCAACCCACAAGGCACCCACTAAGTCCCTTTCGCCAGTGAGGTCGGTCCCTGTCGCTCCATCAAGTCCCTTTGATTCTCCAAAGCAAAGATCGCCCAACCTCAATCGCTCAAGAACCCAAGCCAGCTTTTTCACCCAAGCATCTGGTCTGGCTATGAGCAACACGCATTGTCCAGCCGGTTTGGTGGAAAGAAAGCATCTGGTCAACAAAGCGAAGACCTTTGCAGCCGCTTGCGGCATCTCCGGCAGCGCTGGGCTGGAAAATCAACACAGGTTCCCAGTCAAGGGAATGCCCCAGGTCACTTTGAACAAGAAGAACAGGATGTTCCAAGACTGCCTTGAATGGCACGCAAGCCATGAGAAAGAGGGAATCAATGTGTGGGCAACATAGTGAGGGAAATACCTAGAGAGGACATGACAGCCGCACACATGGCCTGAATGCGGCAGAATCAGTCCAGAAAAGAACGTCAACTCAGGTTAAAACCAGCACACATCATGCGTAGATTGTCTTGCCTGCACTGAGTCCCTTTATCTAGTCAGGTCGGTCCCAGATTGTCTCAAGCAAAGATCGCCCAACCCGAATCGCTCAAGAACCCAAGCCAGTTTCTGTTACGCAACCGCCCAATCTGGCTATGAACACATTCGTCCGCGGGAAATACACAGCGATTGTCTGCCCTAAGGGCAACGGCATGTGGTCCTTTCCAACATCTTGAAGTGTATCAGATCTGCGCGCGTCCAACACTAGCACCAAAAGCCAGCACGCATTGCCCCGCCGACCGTTGCAGCCGCTTGCGGCAGCTCCGGCAACGCCGGGCTGGGAAACCAACATCGGTTCTCATTCTTCTCAAAGCAGTGCCCAAGGTCAACTTAAGCAAGAAGGTCAACTTAAGCAAGAAGGTCAACTTAAGCAAGAAGAACAGGAAAGGCTGGCGTGAGTGAAACTTGTTCAAAAGCAAGCCTTAGGTGCACGCAAGCCATGGCTGCAGTGTGTGGCCTTGCCCGGCAGGAAAGAACAGCCAACAAGCGTGTGGGCTTCGACTTCCGCAACCTGTCCGACTAAGGCCGTGCGCTTTTGACACCGCAAGGTCCGGACCTGCGTGCGGCCAATGATGTCGGCTGCAGACATGCTGAGTCCAAGGGCACCTGCAGGCCCTCACGGCAAAATAGCGGAGTTGACATCAGAAGTCTTGGGCTTGCCCGGAAGCTCTGGGCAGGCAGCTCGAGGGCAGAGCTCTGCAAGATAGAAACCTGACACAGCACTACTCATGCATAATGTGAACATGTGATGTGGAGGAACTGTCTACTTCGTCGACTTCATGGAATTTGTGGATTTAGACTCTAGGTCTTAGGCTTAGGTAGAACTTGTTCGAATTCAACCCGTACAATTCAATCTTCAGCAAATCTTTACTTCCAGTTGCCTTACTACGGATTTAGCTTGGAAGATAAATCCAAGCTATAGCTGATGTCAGTCCACACAGGCTGCAAGTGCCCCGTGTTGCGTGAATGCTTTAGGTCCTGCACCCAAGCCTGCCCAATGTGAAAACAGCTCAGTTCTGACCTGTGATATGGGATGCGTTCAGCGCTTTCTTCGTCACAAAGAGCGGCAGTCGCATGTCCTGCCAGCATGCAGCCAGGGAAAAAGCACGCGGAGCAGTGAAGGGCGTCGAAAACAGCCAACGCCGCCAACAGCCAGCCTGTCGGCGCCGAACTGCCGATATGTGCGTGATATGTGTGGCTCCGTTGCGGGCAGCGCGCTGCAAGCAAATCCCTTGCAAACTCTGGCTGGAGGGAGGGTCTTCCAGCTTCGTTGCCAAGCACGCGGGCTGACAGGAGGCGCTGAGTTAAACGTTGGGCAGGTCATGTCACACTGAAGTCAAGCCTGCTTGAACATCATTGACGTGTCTTCTCGCGCAACATCAAACAGGTCACTCAATGTGGAGAGCAGCGTTCCTCAAAAGAGAGCCCTGGGACACAAATACAACTGTCACTGACAGATCTGAAACTGAACACAAAGTTCTCAGCGCTGTCAAGCTGGCTGGGTCCAATGGCTCTCTTTGCTCAAATCCGGGCAACATGATGCTCCTCTTTTGTGGCCAGCAGTTCTACATCTGCCGCTACAGTCGGCAGGCTCTGCTTCCGCACGTGTTGGCGCAGCAGGCGCAGCAGAAAGAAGCCGTCGTTGTGTGCCAGGAAACGCGAGAAAACTAGGGCTCAGGCCTGGAGGCCTATGGGAGGACATCGCTGGTTGAAGGCTGCACAGAAGGGTTGGCCAAAGCAGCGGCGGCTAAAGCAGCGGCATCCGGACCAGCAACTGCAGTCTGAAGCTAAAGCTTGCCAAGCTCGGCGCACAGCAAAGCTATATATTTGGGTCCAAAAGCTCTGCGCCTTGCCCAAGACTTGATGCTCCTCGCGCCACTCCTGACCCAACACAGACCTCACAAGCAGCGCACGTCGCGCAGGACACTGTATTCAAATTCAAACCAAATTAGTCGCGCAGAAAGAGTTGCCAATAAAGACACAGACTGCATCGCACGTGAGTTGAACCCCAACGCGAGCCCCAGCCCTGAAAGTGGACTGACTGGGAAGTTCAGAACATGTGAGCGCACGCGCAGGCCAGGAGTACTCTATCTGCCAACCACAGCCGCAGTCGGAAGCTAAAGCTGGCCACGAAGTTCTGCGCACAGCAAAGACGGTTGCGATTAATGGTTCTAATGGCTGGATGCCTTGCTCAAGGCAACACCACGCTGCTCATGGTGCCATGGAATGCAACTCCTGGCAGCCAACACTCCAAGCAGCCCAAATCGAGGCACAAAGCGCTGGAAGAAAAAGCCGGGCGCTGAGGTCTGTGAGCGCTAAGATGAGTCATGGCAGGCTCCACAAAACTTAGCTTCAAGCTCCAGATCTCAAGCTCAAGGGTTTCCACTCCGGGCGGCTTTCTCAAATGTCATCAAACTAGAAGTTCAGACTCGGAATTCCGATCTTCTTACGAAGCTTGGCCAAAGGAACCTCTTATGAGCTACCTTGATGCGCAGCCAGCCCCTGCAAGATTGAATCCTTCAGCGATATTGTCTTGATGAACGAAGAGTGGAGCGAGATGGCCTCCCTAACCAAAATGAACGCATAGAGATGAGGCAACCTTGCCATCTTCGTCTTACCCATGCCCCCAGAGTCTTTGCGCAATAGCGGCTCATTGCTGGTTATCACGCCTCGCACCAATTCCTTTCTTTCTAATTCTCAGCCAATATGCGAGAGGAATAGATGGTGAGAGAGACAGAATATGACAGAATGACAGTGAGCCAGCGCTAGTCCTTCCTCCAGCAGGCCTCGGGAGCGGTGCTTCCAGTGCCTTAAGGCGTGGCATCAAATGAGCGTCCTGCTCAAATCTAGGTCGTAACACGCCGTAATGAAGTCTTGTGCCAGGATGCTCAAGCAAGCTTACGCACAGGGGAATCGTTCGCAATCACCTACGCCACTTGCGCCTGCGCAACACACTTACGCGGCTTTACGCCGCCACATTTTCTATTTTTTGAATTGCAACGCATGGTGGTTTTGAACCCTAAGGCCAGATTTCGGCACGTTCCTCTTGCAAACTACCTTCATGGCCAGCCCTGCAAACAAAATACAGTGGATCGAGTGTGCCAAAGTTCGTCAAGCGCTGGGCCGGTCAGTGGCAACGCTATGTCAGGTTCAAAAGTTGCGAACTCAGTGACCAACCGCAGTCTGAAGCTGCAGCTTGCCGAGTTCCGGGCATAGCCACAATGGCTGGGTCCAGATCCATGCTTTGCTCAACGCAACATGATGCTCGGAGTGCCGTCTAGTGCCACTCCTTGGCAGCAACCCTTCTGGCAGCCTATGTCGCAGTCGGGGATGCTCAAGTTCGTGAGCACTGAGATGAGTCTGGGCTTTGACGGCTTGGCTGGCAGGCTCCTCAAAACTTTGCATCAAGTTCCATACCCCACAATTAGGGGTATAGTGCCCATCCAGGCTTTCCGAAGAAGCTTCAGACTTGCGCAGCTTCACAAAGCGCTGGCCACAGCCAAGTTGGGTGTCTCCAACGCTGCTGGTGCATTACAATCGGATTCGGTGAAGCTTGCCCCGGCTGGCGCGAGGACTTTACGTGCGAAGTGTTTGTCAAGCAGACATGTGGGCCAAGGAGCTTCCGTTCATCCTGGATTGCACGAGTGCGTGTGTGGTTCAAGAGGCGCTGGTCCGGTGCCTGGGCAGACAAGCGGATGTGCCAGCCACTCACCTGGTGCAACTACAGGGCCTGGAGTAAACCTGCCAGCGTTCAGTGACTATCTCAAGTCAGATTTGTCCAGTTGCGCGAGAGAGCTTCATGGCAGCATCCTGCAACCTTGAGGAGACCGTGTGCAGCCCGCAGCACTTCTGTGAGTTTGAGAGGCATATCAATGTCCTTGACGTTTGAAAAGCAAGGCCTGTAGCATCCAGTGTGGGTGCACATTCAGGCAATGACGCTAGATGACGGCATGAGGAGCGTCGGTTGCCTCTCGAGCAAAGGACGCACCGTGAGACCCTTGCAGCTTGGCTATGCCCGAATTTTGAGGTACGTTTCAGCTTCGAATTGCCAACGCTGCGTTTGTCTAGCGCTGCAACTTTCCAGCCCACATGCCGAACCTAGGCACACTCAATCCAGTATTTAGGGCTGGCTGCACATGAAGGCTGTTCGCAACAGGTTGCACTTTGGACAAGCGCCATAAAGAACGCTACAATTGCGGCTTGAATTGACACGGAGCAGGTGCTGCTAAAACGGCAGCGCTTTGCATAGACTTTGCCACATGTGCAAGTGAGCAGCGACAAACACCGCGATACTGAACACAAGCAAAGAGCCTTCAACAAAGAAAACTTGTGGAAAGTAGACCTGAAAGCCCAACCTGTACGTATGTTCGAGCAAGGCAGAAGTTGTTCGCTTGTCGTTCTCCCAATTGTGTG